AAACAGAGATTGCAAAACACAGGAATGACCGTTTGATTGAACAACAGGAAAAACACAGGAATTGGATGAGAGAGATAGACTCAAAGGAAAGTTAGCAAGAGGTTGAAGCTCTTGCAAAATTTCCTCCAAAATCTCTATAGGATTGTCCATTCCATAGGAATTTCAAAGGATTGGATAGGATTCAATCCTTTGTTTCAAAGGGCTTCATAGGAAATTTTCCTATAGGATTAAAATCCTCTAAAATTCTTATGTTTTTCCTCCAAATCAAAGGGGGCCCTAAGCTTATGGGTCTAAGTCAGTCTCAGTCCAATATGCAAAAAGGCCCTTAGAGTTTCATAAATCATTACTCGGTCCTAGGCCCATATGTCAGTGTGATTCTACATTTATATACAGACCCCTGTACTTAATCTAATTCACAGGAGACGTCCTTGTGCTCTAGATAAAGCAGAGCTAAGCCATGGCTTCGCCGGCGGCAAACGGCGGCTCGGTTGGAGTTCAGGTCAAAATATAAAATGAAGAGCATGTTCTCGCAATTCCATTCCTCTAGTTTTCTTGGTTAGGGGACATCGGAGTACCGCCGATGGCGAGTGTGAGCGGAAGGTGTCTTCGGGTGATGGTGCATGTGCATCCGCAGTCATGTATTGGTTCATTGGGTGCATGCATGTGAGTATTGGAGGTTCTTGGGTCTCTACCGAGGTGTTGGCCGGAGTTGACGAGGTCCGGACGATGGCGGCAGCACACGAGATGGCTTGGCGACGGCGCTTCACTCCGGGATGATGTCGACGGCTTGATCTACCAATCTAATTGGCATTCATGAGGACATACATTGTTAGCGAGGTCTCAGGGATGCTTCATGTGCAAAGTATCGGACAATGGCTCACCAGAGGAGAAGGAATCGGCGACGGCGACGATTGGCCGAAGCCAGAGAAGACAATACCGATCTCCGTCCATGGCCCATAAATATTGGGGGTTCTTGAGGGATTTTGGTCGTAGTGATGAGACGATGATGGTGGCGCGACAGCTTGGCCTGGCTGACCACAGAAGCGGGAACGGCGATGATGTCGCTGCGGCGGTGCACAGAGTGCGCTCCAGAGCTCCGGTGGGCATGGCAGCGTTCCCATCGATTGGCTGCATGAATCGAGAGGTTGTCAAAACGAGTTTTGATCGGCATGGAGAGAAGATAATAGAACGTGAATTATATAGGGATGTTGACGGCTTGTTGGTGATCGGTGGCGCCCTCTTTCTCGGCGGCCGACGATGAAATAGAGGTGGAGTGGGAGAGCTGGAGCTCTCACCCTCGGTTGGATCGGCACTGGGATGGAAAGTGAAGAGTGGCGACGCGTCTGGGAGAGTAGAGAAGGAGCTCGGCATTTTGAAGGCGTCGACACGTCGCTCCCAACACGTCGAGCACTGCCAGCGCCCTCGATCTCTCTCTTTCTGTCTACTGGTCGGTTGGAAGAGATGGATAGGGAGTGGGCAAGCCCAAGTAGCTGCCAAGTGAGCCCAAGTCGATGTAAGCTAGGTGGGTCCGTGGGTGAGAGTGGTGAAAGACTTGATTTTCAGAGATTTTCAGGAATTTTTCAGGATTATTTCTCTTCCCCATATTTGTTAATTCATGGATTAATTTGTGGTGTAGATAAATTCAGGTGGATTTTTCTGGAGGTAGGTGTATGTACCTAGTTTCCATTTTCTTGGGTTACACTCAAAAAGTATGTGTAGTTTGCTCTTAGAAAAATGGAGAAAATGGGCTCGATAGAACTTTGTTTGAATTTTTAGGAGGTCTAAACAGAAGAAATAAATTCTGGAAAAATAATATTTATTCTTTAAAATTAACCTAATATTTGAATAAATTATTTCCCTTATGCTCTTCCATGCAGTTAAATGCACTTTTAGACAAAATATGGTTTTAGCCGATTAGGAATTATAATTAGTCTATTATTTGACTGGTTTGACTGATTTATTTAAGGTATCAAATTTAGTTATTAAATTGTACCAAAATTACAGTGAGTTCTACGTGTTAATTAGAGCCTACATGAATTTTCCCATGATTTTATCTTGCACAAATTATTTTAGATAATTAGCAAGGTCTTTCTTTATATGTGCATTTCCAATTTTTAGATGCATCTAAATAGTTATAAGAAATTTATTTAGACTACTCTTGACCTGAAGTGGTAATATTAGACTTCCTTTTCATGTCTTTAATATTATTACTCATGAACACTTTTAGGTTTTGCTTAGTGAAATTATCTTTTAATCATGCTCATGAGTCCTGATATGAAATGCAAACAAAGATCCAAATGCACAAGAAAGACTTAAGTTAAACCATATCATATGTGAGTATGCATGTCTACACTTGTGTTCGCATTTATGTCCTACGTTAGAGATGAAATGGTTTTAATATGTTCTCAAATTTTACTTTAGTACAAGTCAGATTGACCACTCCTAGGTTAAAAATGAAAATTTTCGGCTCTCGAAAATGGAAAAGTTAGCTTCCAACTATTTTGATAGGAAATTTTTTAAGATTTAGAATTCGGGTATGTTACAATTACTGAGCATATTAATATCATCGATTATTAATTTGATTATGTGGATAAATAAAACATTTTAAAAAATAAATTTATAAATAACTTAAAACAAGTGGCCTAAACGTCATTAGAACAAGATTTTTTTAAGAAACTAGAGCAAATAATTCATTTCAATAATCCGGTGTATAAGCTGGAAAGAGCAGGGCAGCCTCTTCCCTATACACATGGTTCAATTTTTTCTCCTACTTACGTTGTACGCTCATGATCTTCAATGGTGAGTAACTAACGGAGTAATTGCCGAATTATATTTTGAAATATGCATTATTTTTTGTAGTTTTACACATATATACGAAACATACGTTTCCCGCTGAACGGGAACGCGCTACCGCACCGGCGGCGCAGCTTGAAGACGTGGGACCGTGTCAGTCTAGCGGTGCCGCGATACAGTTGCGCGGAACCGACGCAGTTCCGCGGATTGGTTGCTCGGGATTAGTGGCATGCATGCATTAGCAGTAAGTTAGATTACGTGCGTACTGTAGCATCCTGTGAGCCGGCATTCCATTGGCTGGCTCGTGCAAAGCATATGCACGTAAGCATGCATGTATTGGAGGAGCATGCGCCATCCCGCATCACCAATCTGCGGGGACGCGACGGTCCCGCAGGACACAGCCGCGGCACCGCCTCGCCACCACGTTCCAGCTCTCCGAGACCACGGCACCGACGCGGTGCCGCACTTTCAGTGCACGGGACCGCAGTGCCGCTCGTTCAACCTGCGTGAACAACCCGGCTGCGGTTACGTACCGCTCCCGTATTCCCATCGTGCGATACGGGTATATTTGTGCTAATTCTTCTTATACAGATATATAAATGCAAATCATTAAAAAGGAAGGTATATTATCAAATTTTTTTCAGTAATTGCCATTTTCCTAAGGCAGAAAAGCATAAACCATCAAAATTGTTACTTAGTTATGAGATTTCATCCCATAACTTATTTTATTGTAAAAAGAAAAACACCCACCTCAACACGTGTTGATTAGTTGATCCGCCCATATCTATCGTACAAAGTTAGGTACATTAATATAGGGTTTGTTTAGTTCGCGAAAAGAAAATTTTTGGGTGTCAAATCGGATGTTTGACCGGATGTTGGAAGGTTTTTCGGACACGAATGAAAAAACTAATTTCATAACTCGCCTGGAAACCGCGAGACAAATCTTTTGAGCCTAATTAATCCGTCATTAGCACATGTGGGTTACTGTAGCGCTTATAGTTAATTATGGACTAATTATGCTCAAAAGATTCGTCTCGTGATTTCCCCCTTAACTGTGTAATTAGTTTTTCTTTTAATCTATATTTAATGTTTTATACATGTATCCAAAGATTCAATGTGATGTTTTTGGGAAAAAAATTTAGAACTAAACCAGGCCTAAGTTTAGACACTCAAATTCACTCCATGAGCATGATAGGCTATCTTGTCATAACGTGGGCTCATCTGCGTTATAACAGGGCATTTCAAGTATAAATCATTCCTCATTTCGAAGCCAATAATATTTGCATAAACTAATCATTAATCCCAAGGAAAATATTTTATGGATACCTTTCTTGTTTTGGCATATATTGCTTAGGGCCTCTTGCAGGATGGAAAATGAATTTCACCCCATTACTTAATGACCTAGAAATACATCTATGAATTTCAGTAATACATGCCATTGCATATTCATTGATTATCATAATTTTGATCCAATTATTTTGTTTATCCTAAAATGCTTATTGTCTCAGAAGATTAAATTACGAACATAATAGTTCATGTGATTTATGTATACTCTTTTTTTTTGGTAAACTAGAGTCTTCCTGACAAACTCGCTTTGGAGGACGTACAAATATTCCAAGATTCGAATCAAATCTGCGAAGATTCCTAGAGAATTGATGTGTAACTTCCCCCTAATCCTGCATCATGAGTTGAGAGGTTCATTTTATCTATTTAAATTATCCAAGAGTACTTAAGTAGAAATTTGCTTCGGTCCAACATGTCTCGAGGTATCAAATCGAATCTAACCATCCGTTTGTGATGGGCAGGGTGGGTAACATTGGCAGTCGTCGGCCCCATCCTCATTCTTCATGGGCTTCACCTGTGTTGTGTCCGGAAGCAAAACATCTCCCCACCTCCTCTATAAGGTCTACTGCGCCAACGGGCTCGCCGTTTGAACTGATGAACGATTTGTGTTTGTGATGCGTTGCAAACACAATGGTGATCGTGATTGTTGATTAGTGGTTTTCAGTTTGTGACGGCTTCGAGCAGGAAAAGTGTGAGCTTTGGTGGGGCTGTCGGAGATTAACTCCCTCAATGATGAAATTGCCCTCTCTAAATGATGTTCATAATCATACTATTAATTATGTACCATCTAATTTGGGCCTCTCATCTTTTTTAAAAATTGTGCTGTTTGTTATTTGTAGAGCATAGAAGCACATCTCTTACGATTAATGATTGAAAACCACTACCTTTATTAAGAGGATAGGTTCCACTAATCTAAGAGGACAAAACGATTAAAGATAGATTGGGCGGAGCCCAGGATACAATAACCGAATAATAGCATGAAACGACTGATCGCTAAACTGCATGAATGAAAAACCTTGGCTGCTCAAGTAAAACTGATCAGGTACATGATCACCAGCCCCAACTAACAATTATTCCAAAGAGCAAATCAGGGGGAAACCAGCGGAGTTGGCGAATCGGCGGGGCTAGCCTCAACCCGGACCCTGCTTTCGTGCAGCTGCTGAGACATCGAGGGCATCTTGCTATGTTGCTCCCTACCTACACAGAAAACGATGCACGCTTGATCAAATTAATAGAGAAGCAGAAGAAAGGTGACTTCCTTGGAGATGAAAGTTTCAAAAAAAGAAAAAGAAAGAAAGAAAGAAAGGGAGGGAAAATGGTGATAAGGATTGATGCAAGGCCAGGATGAAACTCATGATAAAAAAGGGTAACATGTGGAAATAATTTTACGTACCTTCGCATGCATCGACGACGATCTGGGCATTTCTAAGATTCTGACCCTAGCAAGTACTACTGGAATAGAAATCAACCATATCCTGTAAGGATAAACCGTTATCAAAGAATGCACGTTCGTCCTTCAAGCCGCAGAGGCACTCCAGATTATTTAAAATTGCCATGTCAATGACATGTATAACAAAAATGCAGCAATCCATGATAGGCGTTGTGTTTGGGAAGCAAACACTCTCCATTTGGTAAGACATATCACTACTATCGCATATAACAGTCTGCGCCAGCACCACGTCGCCGGAGCGTGCGACATCAAGCATAATAATCCATATGCACATGAGGAGTGAGTAGAAGTGCCCCATTATATTAATATGGGATAATTAACACACATAAGAAGTTATACGAGTAAAGCGACAACCGAACATATAGAGATATATAGATATACATAATGTGGTTAGAGCTACCAACTACTACCTTGCGTTCGTGCGGTAAGTGTGACTGCGTGAATTTCATTGGTCGTTGAGGCATGCATGCAAGCTTGGTTGTTGAAGCCATCAGGCATGAATGCATAGGTAGGTGGCAACAACTTAAAGAGCATTAAGTGTGAAGAGTAACAGCAACTTGACATGCGGAACGGGTGCATTTTCAGGTGGTTTACACCGAAAATGACCGCGTCGGCAATGATCGATCCCCAGTTCAGAACATGTAAACGGTGCCAGTTCATACCTCTATTACTGCCGGATCTAACGCAGACACTACCAAAGTGGTGCTAATGAGGGGAGGAAGATTTGAGAACCGGCACCTACATATTATTATTTCCAGAAAAAAAACAAAAAAGAGTCAGTTCGACTTAATCGATCCGATTTTTCCATTAAAAAATGAAATTGCATGAAATGAATAACAATTAATTATTGTAACAAATCCAACAGAATCAATATTCTTATCACGGAACAAAATTGCATTTATTCTCATCCATAAATTAACACATCACACAATTACAGAAACTGCAGGTTTGAAATTCCATCACGAATCACACAGCATGGCACCTGTAATACAAACTAAATCTGCAAGACTACCACTCACCAGTGGAGCAATGACCTGAGGTCACGACCCAAGATCATCCACTACTTTTAAGCAGCGTTTGTGCAGGCGGCCAATAACGAATTTTTTTGAGAATTAATATTATTTTTATGGAAAATCGTAAAAGTAGTGGTCAACCGGGGAAAATCGCGAAAATAGGTCCCTGTCGAACGGGTGCAGTTCGATAGGGCGCCTATCGAACGGCCAGAGCGCGACTGGCGACGAGATCGGAAGGCTGCCGTTCGACAGGACCTGTCGAACAGCCCCCGTTCGACAGGCAGGGCTGTCGAACAGCCCCCGTTCGACAGGCTGGGCTGTCGAACTGCCGCAGTTCGACAGGATGTCCGTCGAACTGCCGCAGTTCGACAGGGTCGCGTTCTCCATTTATTTGTAATAAGTTATTTTTTTTAATAATATGTAATTTATTTTAGTGTGTAAGAAAGGAAAATATTTTTGTAATGTTATATGTATGTGATTTAGGGTTTTGATAATGTTTGGTCAGAAATTGTAGTATTTATTTGTTGGTTAAAATATTTGAATTATTTAGTTTCATTATTTGTATATTTGAATGATAATTTGTCATGATTCATTCGAAGGGTATGCTACTGAGTAATTATCCGAAGAAGTTTATGAAATAGTACTGATAGTACTAAGTTAATCGTAAAGTGTTTCTCAAATAGTACGGACAGAACATAAATGACTAAAAGTTTAATACAAATAGATAAGTCAAGGACGATCAGTGCCCTTCGCACGCTTGCTAGGTCCTCCCTTCTTCCTACGCCTAATCTGCTCAGTGGGATATGTCAAATTATCAGGGGGGTGCCTATCTCTAGCTGCCTGCTGTGGTGTCACGTCTGGCCCCTGACCGGCCTCCGTCTCCTGCGTCGGCTGTGTGACCTGAGGTGCTGCGTGCCAGTAATCCATCCCTACTTCCCCCTGGGGAGGATCAGTGGAAAAGAAGTCCTCAATGAATGCTGTGCGAGGGGAGTAAGCAGGCACTCCGTGATGCGTCGACGCCGAACCGTACTCATCGTCTGTTTGTACAAGAGGGAGAAACCAAAAAATATGGCGTAGTTAGTAACGATACATATAATTAGAAACTAAAGCGTGTTATTGTTTAAAATGACTTACATGTGTGCTGTGTGTGGCCCTGCTCTGGCGCACGCGGAGTGATATGAAGTCCCCATGCTGGTGTGTTCAACACGTTGTCCCCCGTTGGCATGTAAGGGAAGTGTGCCGACCCAGATGCTCCCTGCGAGGGGTGAACATAAGGCGGAGTTTGGAATACCTGCGGACGTGGTGGTGCCGTGCTCGACGTGGGTACCCCTGATCCGGCTGACCCCCTGGTGTACTCCGGTGCTGGGGTGTGCTGAAAGGAAGGACGACCGTGAGATGTGTGGGCCGCTTCGTACCCGCGACGTGAAGAGGATGGACCACTCCGATCCACGCTGGAACGTCGGGGTAGTGGTGGTGATGGCCGTCGGCCCGACGTCTGCACCACATCTGCCGCGCTCCGACAGGAGACACGACGTAGTAGTGCGGCAGCACGTGCACGGAAGTTGCGAAGGACACTTGCCACGTCGTCAGACCTGACGACTGGAGGTCTCGCCTCTAGTCTTTGCAGCAGGGTGTCGGACTCCACGTGAACGTGCTCAACAAATTCCGCCTGTTCCACAAATAATCAAGGCAATTAAAATTATTTAACCAGTTGCACATTTATTAAGAGTATTTAACAAGATGCACATTTGTTAGAAATAATGAACCAGTTGCACATCATTTATAAATACTGAACTAGTTCCACATTTATGTAAGAAAAGGAACTAGGTGAACCAATTGCACATTTATTAGACATACTGAACTACTTGCTAACTTTTTAAAAATATTGAACTAGTTGCTCAAATTCCACAAATAAACACGTACCATTGAGTTGTAAGCTGATCTAGGCTGAGGGGCAAACGTGTCAGTAATCGCTGCCTGGTGGGGGACGGTGCTATCTCCTTGTGGAGGAAAACACCTCCATCGTGTAACACTGCGGTACCAACGAAGGTAAGCTCCATAATAACTCCCATCGTCTGGAGGTGTCTGAAGTGCCAAGTTATCAGCTGCGTGCTCCCACTCTTGTACCGTCAGCTGAACTGTGGTCACAATAACTAGCTCGTAGGAAAGCCCGAGCCCCTTTCTGGAGTACCTGCACAACAACAAATTCACACATCAGAAAAAATGTTGTGCAGTGATTTATTTTAAAAAATGTAGGATTAAACAACTGTGATGTGAACTAACCTATGAAGACTATCAGCCAAAGGACGACCATCTCTCGGAGGGAAGTCCTGATACATGCCCAACTGTTTGAGAACCCTGTGGACATTGTGTGGCTCGACGTGCACGTCCACCACGAGGTGACAAGTCGTCCTCCAGAGTTGCATATCTCGCGTGCAAAGATCCGCGAGACCGTGCGGTGCACGATCATTGACATCGTGCTGAGTGTAGGGAGTCCACCGAACACGGTCAGGCGTAAGCTGATCAAAGTCAGCTACAAACTGAGTGTAGACACGACGTGTCGTCCCGCTAACCCACTGCGGCTGTAACAAGTAGTAGTTTTCATCAGTCATATAAGGAAAGTTTGTGAACTAGTATTCATAATGATAACATAAACGAATTTAACAAAAATTACCTCACGGTGTGTCCACAAGGATCCCATAGTGGGACGATCGTCGATGTCATCAACACCAGACCTGTACATCTCTCGCAAACCGTAGTTTGCGTACGAGTCAAGCTGAGGCCTCCCAATGTCGAAGCGCTCGTGCGCCCACAACATAAGTAGCAACGAGCATCCAGGGAGTGAACTTTGCTTGCTGTTCCTCACGCAAGCATCACACAGTCCGGCATATGTCGCCGCAAGTACCGCCGACCCCCAACTGTACTGTGGAATCTCCGCGATAGGTAACTCTGCAATCTGCTCCGCAAAGTGGATGAAGTGCTTGTCCACGGAGTCAGCGTGAGTTCCCGTGAACATCACCCATCCAAACAACCACAACAGGTAAGCGACTAAGTGCCGCTGCACGATCCACTCCTCCTGGTCATCAGGGAAGACATCCTGTCGAAACTGATTCAACCAACTTTTCGTAGGCCCGTGCCCATCTGTGAGATCCTCCAGTGCAACAGGCAGCACACCACCAAAACTGGCCAGAAGGTCATCCGCCCATCCAGCATTCACCATTGTTGGGCCAACTGCTGGCCCAGCTATCGGCAGCCCCAACAAATAAGACACATCCTGCAGAGTGGGCACCATCTCTCCAACTGTGAGGTGGAAAGTGTGGGTCTCAGGCCTCCATCTATCGACAAGAGCACTCATAAGCGCCGCGTCAATGTGGATTCGTTCGGACCTTGCACGTGAAGGCTCGACCAACCGTGCAAACGTCAACAACCCAGCTGCTCTCAGCCTACAACATGACAGAGCGCAAGTTATTAATACATGAAAATATAAACACCTTGTATTAGTAAAAACAATATATTTTCACACACCTTGGAACCCAACGAGGATCAATACGCCAATATTGATCCGGTCCTCGCATCTTTAGCACATTGCAGAAAGTTCCTGTACTAAGACGTCGCGATCGATGGTTCCTATCGATCTCCTTGTCTATCAGCTGCCCATCATTTTGATCAGCCATACCTGCAGATCGAAAACCACATTAGTACAATGCACGTATGGTAACAGTACAATAAATGTATGCAACATAATTCAATTAACAAATTTGCATGCCATTTCAATTTAAAATTACAGTACCAGCACACATAGATACAGATAAGAATAGTTCAATACATTTCAATTTAAAATTACAAGCCCACGACACATATATTACGATATTACAAGTGCAGTGCAGTTCGAAATTTAAATTACAATTCCAATACAAATACATGACGATATTAAAAGTGCAGTGCAGTTCAAAATGAAAATTACAAGGCCATTACAAATAGATTCGGGTAATAAAAGTGCAAGAAAGTTCAAATTAAAATTACAGACGCACTAAACATAAATTGAACGATAACGATCTTCAAAGTAGGGAGTCCACCAAGGATAATAGCGAACTAAGGATTATTTTTCTTCTTCGACTTCCCCTTTGGAACGCGACGAACATCAGCGCCTGTGGCATCTTGCCCTACATTGTACATGCTGCAATCTTTACGGGAATGGTTCTCCCCGCAAAGAATGCAAGCTTTCTTACGACGAGAACGATCTTTCACTTCAGCTTCATCCATAAGGTTCTTGATCCTGCGTGACTGGCGACGACCCTTAGTATCAACTAATAAATTTGAGTCAGGAACCCAATTGGCTTGCCCTGGAGGAGGACGAGTGAAATCACACACGGCACGCCAACCACGCAATTCACCACGCCAAGTTGCCTCCCACGATTCCTTTCTAAAGTAGGGAGAAACAAAAATGTTTCCATCAACACCCCCTTTTGCGGAAGCAGCAAGAACATGGGAACATGGCCGATGTAACAGGTAAGGCTTGTTGCAATTGCATTTGCAAGCGTGATACTCTGGCCACAACGTGCATTCCAATGTGATGTCAGTAGTCCCAATGCCGACACCACTCTTGTCACGAAGTCGTATCTCAAATAACAACTCTCTATTCCCAGCAGGCCACACTCTGTGGATTCCTCCCTTCTTACTTTTCTCATCCATGTACTGTGTAATAGCGGGGCTATACTTAACACTGGGTTTGCTGAGGTTCAGACTAGCCATGGAATACCTTTTACAGAGATACTTCTGTGTACCCCTCGTGATGCCCTCCAGGATAGCAACAAGTGGTAGAGGTCGTGTATTCTTCATAACCCAATTATATACTTCAGCAAGATTTGTTGTCATCACACCATACCTCGATCCATCTGTATCGTACAACAACGACCATTTCTCCCTTGGCTCAAATTCTACCCACTCCGTGAAGCACTTCGTGGCCCTTCCACGCTTCCTGCGCCGAGTAATACTTGGTGCTTCATTAGGAATGGGTTCAAGTCCCTCCGGCTCCTCCTGTCTGGCAACTATGGGTTTTTTCCTAACCTCTTCCATGTGTGTAGTGGTCAAACGATCCAGTTGCTCCCATATGGCATCAAACTTTCTTTGTTGATTCTGCTTGCATAACTTCTTGAACAGGTCCATCAATCTCTTACTCCTGAATTGTCTATAAAAATTAGCCCCAAAATGTCGCATGCACCATCTGCTATGTAAATCTGGCCATGGCACGGACTGTGTGACATCTTCTTGAAGCTTCTGTATCGCGGATAGCAAACCGGCGTGTCGGTCTGCAGAACACACACATTTGGTCTGTTTTCAACAACACACATTTTAATGTGCCGCAAAAACCATAGCCAGCTTGATGTGTTCTCGCTTTCAACAAATGCAAAAGCAACAGGAACGACATGGCTATCCGCGTCAACTCCGATCGCGGTTAGAATTGTTCCTCTGTACTTGCCTGTCATGAAAGTGCCATCAACACAGAGCAAAGGAATGCAATTTTTAAAGGCCTCTATCATGCACCCAAATGACCAGAAAGCCCGACGAAGAACATTCTCCCCATATTCATTCACCTCATCGAGAATAGCCATGTGTGTGCCTGGGTTTCTTGCCTGCATCACCTCCAATAGTGGGGGAAGATTGTGATAAGAATCCTCATAAGTTCCAAACCTCATCTCCAATGCTTTCTGTTTTGCCCTCCAAGCCTTGTCGTACGATATCTCATATCCGTACTCTTTCTCAACGTCATGCATTATGGTGAAAGGGGACAAAGATGTTTTTCTAACCACCTTTGAATATACCATTTGTGCCACAAATGCCGCTGTCAGGTTTCTGTGCACCAGACGGGTATTCTCCAACAAACACGTATGTTGCTCAACCCTCGAAGCTACCCATAAAGTGTCATGTTGTGGCTTGTAACCATGCACTCTCCAAGGACATCCACCCTGTATGCACTTCACGTCATACGTCGTCCTATTTGAAACCTTCACCCTGAACTCACGCTTCTGGACAAATGCCCACCTCTTCACCGCATCTTGTAAGTGACCTTTGTCATGAAACATCTGTCCAACTTTCACCTGCTTACTATCATAACACCAGTGGGCATCTAAACCATCGTTTACCTTCATACGACTCATTGATATGGTCGTCCAATTATCGGGTATGTAAGTTTCGTTGTCCCACAGTGTTGTATCTTCTCCTTCCACTACAAGCGCAATGTATTCCTCGTTTTCCACTTCCATCTGATCCACTACCGCCTCATTCTCCTCCGCTGCATCAACACGCATAGGCGAATCCGGTTCTTCATCGTCCGAGTCGTTGGCCTCACGATTAGTACCACGAACAATGACCTCTCCTTGTGTATTACCCTCTACTACTTCTTCCCCTCGACCTTGCTCAGTCCGCCAAACATTTTCAGCTTGTCCACCTTCCAACGGAGTTTCTTCCACCACGGCATGACTTGACTCCCCCGATCGATCAACACATTTTGTCTTCTGCACCACTATTGCCAGGCTATAGCCTTTCTCCCTTACTTTACTAACAAACTTCCTCCAACTCCCAGTTGACGCAACCTCCACTACTCTCCACTGCCATCCATGTTGACCCCTCACTAGCCACACGGCATTTATGATAAATTTATCGTGCACTGGATCTACCCCAAACATATTATACAACCACCCTAACACGTCGTTCAAACCCATATGCTCCGGTGCATTCAGACTAGTATCATGGAAGGCATATACAGTCAAATCCACCCCGCTATCACATATTTGTATAGGAGCATCGCCATAATACAGACGAATGGGCATATCACCTGACATCCTGATAAAACATGACAAATAGTCTCACGTTTAATCATTTAATCATTCGATAATTACCCTATTACAACTTATACTACATTGCCGTGTACTAATTTACAACTATTAGTAACAAACAACTAGTTTAATAATCCAAATAAAATATAACACCTTTGTACATATTTTAACACACAACATATCAATAATATGTACTAACTAAGAACTAATTTAACCGTACAATTACTTAAATACCTCTACCAACATTTAGCAATAACAAATATGTGCTAACCATACATACTAACATCGAACAATGCGAAACAATTAACAACTCTTAAACCAATTTTTTATTAAACTTTCATATGCATTGTACTTAGGGATTACTAATGTATACCTTAACTTCACTGCTGGAGGGCGTCGCCAACCCTTTCCTCCCGGCCGGCGCCTCCTCTCCGGCCTGCTATCCCCTCCCCTCGCTCCCTCCGGCGCTCACGGCGACGATGTGGCGACTCTCGACGGCGGCTGGCGATGTGGTCCTCAAATAAATCGAACAAGCATCGCGGGCTGGGGAGACGGGGCTTTAAACCGGCCTGTCGAACGCCCATTGTTCGACAGGGTCGGTGGAGGGACCTGTCGAACGCCCCCGGTTCGACAGGCCTGGCGGCGCGGGGTGGTGGGCCCTGTCGAACTCCCTCCGTTCGACGGGCGAGCGTGTCGAACGCCAGCCGTTCGACAGGGCTCTGTCGACTGCCCGTCGTTCGATAGGTGCCCTATCGAATTGCACCCGTTCGACAGGGACCTACTTTCGCGATTTTCCCCGGTTGGCCACTACTTTTGCGATTTTCCATAAAAATAATATTAATCCTCAAAAAAATTCGCCAATAACCTATTTACATAGGTGTTTTCAGACGCGCAGGTAGATAATGGCCTGTAGATATCGCATGATTTGTGCGGGCGGAATACCGACCATCCTTGGGAATTAATTTCCACAGGCTACTCTACCCACCCTTGAAAATGAATTTTTAGTTTTTTGAGATATATATATATATATATATATATATATATATATATATATATATATATATATATATACTCAAAAAATATCTCGTATTTTGGCAGACATCTCTCTTAAGTCACAAGTCACACGCGAATAGGATTCGAACCTAGGACCTATCGTTTAGTGTGTAGGGTCAGTTTGGTTGATGACTTGAGTTATGTGCCTGAAAAAAAAGGTGCCTGTGTGGAAAGAAAATTTGTGTTGAGTTCTACCTGGCCAGGCATGTCGAAAATTTATTGTTTGGTTGTAATCCAAGCCTGAGTAAATATATTAAACATAAAAAGTACACTTGTGTGAGTTAGGATGATTACAAGTATTGGTAGTAGTCACATCAATGAAGAATCTATGAAGGAGAAGCAGGCATGCACCGTGCCTAAGTCAGGCATTCATTTTCGGTGGCCTAAGTCAGGCAAGTCTTCAGGGAGACAACCAAACATAGCTGTATGTTGCTCAGGCTTGCTACAGGCCAGGCAAATCTCCATCAAAGTAGCAACCAAACAGACCCGTAGTCCCCTTGCCATCTCACATATGAAGCACTTCGTGAATATGAGTTGGATGCTATTCTTTATTTACTCCACTTCTCATAAAACTTGCAAGACATATTTTACACTCTAAATAATATCAAATAAAAAAGTCATCAACTAAAAATTTGTAAACCGCGCCGAGCTCTACAACTTTGATATAAAGCATATCTCCAATCAAGCTCATTTGAAAAAAAAATGTTGCTTTATTAAATATACTAGACAAAATGCATGTGCGTTGCAACGGGAGAATACTATTTTAATCTTATTATTGTTATACGGTTTAGCTGGGATGAAATACACTATGTGAATTCGCTTGAATATTTTTTTAAGAAAATCATGAGCTGCAATTAGGAGCCCGATTTTTATCTCAAATTATTATGCATGTTTTTTTAAAGAAATTTCTTATACGACTTCTTTTGTATTTCCGAAAGCAAACGAACTTAGAATCCGACTCATACACAGATCTATATTTCTAAAAGCGAACAAACTTAATTAAAAACCGACTCAAATAAAGATGACGTACCAAAAAACCGGTAAAAATATCTTCGATTTTTATAATAGTAGAGATAGAGAAGAGATGGGATAGAGAAGTAGAGAAGAGATAGAGATATAGATATAGAGATCAATTTTAATTAGTTATACAATCATCAAGATTCAAGATGTTGTACGTACACTTTTGCAAGGCATACTTCACCGACATGTTTATCACTAAGAATAATATATGCTATTCAGATAATTTCCTCAACTAATCAAAGAGCAGCCATATGTTCACCTGTGATCGATATGCGTACTCCTCGCTCGTGCGTGATGATTTGTCTCGAAGATGACTCGGCCAGAACTTAAACGGGCTGGATTAGCTTTTACTACTTTGATCAGTCCGATTTGGTCCCATGCCGAAACCACCACAATCTTGTCCAGGATGATGGAGTGATTGTGTATTCCTGTGCGGGGCGGATTCGCGTGGAAACGGAGCCGATCCCGTGTGAGGCTGCGACCTAGCGCTAGTGTCTGACAAAAAACATACGAAAGAGAAATAGGACAAACTCAAAACCTAATCAAACACAGATGACGTACCAAAATTCTGGCAAAAACATCTTTAATTTTTATAATAAGTAAAGGTATCATATAGTTTCTAACGAATATTTTCTCCCCTAAACGATCTCCAATGAAAAAAAAAGATCAAACATAAAGTCGTAGATGTCGTTGAGCTCTACAATTTTAATATAGAATATGTCTCTATACAAGGTCGTTTAAAAAAATTAAAAGAAAGCAATTCAACAATAGATCTGGGAATAAAAAACGAATAGAACATTTTAACTATAAAAATAAATATGAGATAGAAAAACAAACATTCGAACCCCCTAAACGATCTGAAATAAACAAACTTTCATCTACAAAGTTGTAGATCAAATCAAGGGCTACAGTTTTCATACAAAGTATGTCATCATCCGACTTCATTTGAAAGTTATGATTTTCTTTTATATTTTAGTACTAGTACTACTCTCATTTTTAAAGGCGGTTTTCATACGTAGAACCACATGCAACAATTGAATATTTGAACCCTAAATAATCTCAAATGAAAAAACTTTCAATAGCAAAGATGTAGGTCTCATCTAGAGCAACAATTTTCATATAAAGTTCATCTTCATCCATGTCACACCCCACCTTGGCACCGCCGTACAGATAACGCCAAGGAGGGTACGCCATTGGGGAACAACGAATTGTCTCATGCATAACCGCGATGCCAATATCAGTCCCAGGTTACATATGCTTACCCACGGTAACAAAATGAACTCGACGCCCCACCATGGCCGCTGCTTGTTGCCCGAGCTCTGTTGCCCACCAACATTCGCGCCCACGAGCCTCGCCACCACCAAATCCACTGCCTGTGAGCCTAGCTCACCTCTGCTAGATCCGCCGCCCACATGCCTCCAACCACCGGATCCACCGCCCAGGTGCCTAGACAAGCTCCTCATACGGATTTGCCACTCCCAAGCCCACCAGCGACGGATCCACCACCCCCGTATTGGTGTGTTGCAGCCGTCGTCATCAGAGATGTCATCGCTGTCAACGTCGTGGTCGTCGTTGCTGAGAGCACCATGGTGGAGGTAGGAGGGTAGAGGGGGGTAGGGATGGAGAGGGAGTAGGGATGGAGAGGGAGAGAGGAGTGGTAATGGTGAGAAGGAGGAGAGACTTGGGGAGAAGATAGACTTAGCTGGCTCTCGCATCTAGGAGACTCTGCGATTTAATATCCTTGAGTATCTACAACGTTATCATCATCAGAATTCCATTTAAAATTATTTTCATCCAATGCTTCACCACTATCGTTTTGATAATCGGGATGAGAGGGATCATACTCCCAATCATATAAATTCCATTCACCAGGAAACATTTGACAATAAAGATGATAGTTAACATCCTGTAAGATCCAAGGCCCACGAGCTTGTAAGATCCATGGCCCACGAGCTTGTTTTCCACCGTTCAAACGTAGCAACAGAGGCATAAGGTTGTTCTGGGGCTTCAGTAACCACTCAAAATGACCACATGATTCATTGAGGATCCAAATCGAAAGACGTTGGTCAAATTCAAGTGATGCGAGGTACACCCCTTTCTCTTTTCAAATTAAAAAATTTGGTTTAAACTTCTTGTAGTAAACTGTGGGATGTTTAATTACTTGATATTTTCCATCAGACAGAGATATCCTGCAAAGAAACATTACCCGACTTTTAGAAATTATTAGTTAGTAAGTAAATACTTGTCACATGACATGTGTTCACATAAAGTACTCCCCTCCAATAAACGTGCCCGCGTTGAATCCACGGCCATGGCTGCCTCTGGGCATCGGCAATGACCGGACGAGGATGGCAGGGATGACTTGGTCATCGAGCGACAAGGATGACGCAGCCGCCAGCGACGATAGAGATAGAGAGATAGATAGAGAGAGTGGAGGTTGTGGCTGGATATGGATAGAGAGAGGAGAGGTAGTGCCGTAGTGGCCTTATCCTCTCCTCCTTGTGGATCTGAGCCCCGCTAGCCAAAAATATTTTCTCCTACCCGCCGGCTCGACCCGACTCGATTTTTATGGGGCCGGCTTTTTAAAATTGGCATATATAATAATATTATATGTGCCTTTTTTTTAATAAACCAACATCTATAATATATTAAAAGTGTTCGTTTTTTTTAAAAAAAAGGACTTATAGCATTGGTGCCGGTTTTCTCTAAAACCTACATTTATAGTTGCTTAAAGGTGGCGGTTTTCTTTTTTCATCCTTTGAAGGTAGGAAAAGCACTGTAGATGTTAGTTTTACCTATTCCGACATCTATAGTGTCGTATCCTTTGTTACTTTCTATAGTAATGATATCGTTCTCAAGATGTTCCACTTATAAAAAAAACTTAATCGAGTCTATCGCCATGTCATTAGCCACTCCATATAAAACTTAATCGAGTCTATCGCTATAGCCACTCCATATAGTCCATGTGGCTAAAACTACTGCTGCATCGTCATGTTTACCATAAAACCACCTATAAAACCACTGTATGAGGTTATTTAAACCGTTTTCTATATTTTAGGGAATAAAATATCCGGTTTCATACTAGAGGGTTTAAGTAAACCAACCTCAATACTTCAAAGGATGAAGTAGACTTTATCATATTTTTCTGTGTTTGTTCTTTTCTTTTCATCAAACAGAGCGGACATGTTGACATGGTACGCGGTGTCATCCACTAAACAGAAAAGAAATTCAAGTTGCCGCCAAAAGAAACTAAGAAATGAACCTGACAGTGAAAAAGGATGTGGAAACCAAACGAAACTAAACAAGGGAGCAAAGGACAGAATCGAGGAGCTGGAACTGAAATAACTGCTACTGAAAGAAAAAAAAAACACCAGAGTTATTTGACAACTGACAAAACACGATTACAATGAGGATGGTGATCGAAAACCACTTTCTTTAAGAGGATAGATTCCACTAAACTACAAGGACACAGCTAGCACGATTAAAGATAGATTGGGCGGAGCCCAGGATACAAGAACCAAATAATAGCATGGAAAAATCGATTTACTAAACTACATTAATGAAAAGGGCCACGGTTGCTCAAGTAGAACTGATCAGGCATATGATCACCAGCCCCAGCTAACAATTCTTCCAAGGAGCAAATCAGGTAGAAGCCGGCGGAGTTGGCGAGTCGGCAGGGCTAGCCTCGACCCGGACCCTGCTTTCGAGCAACCGCTGAGGAGGCATTGAGGGCATCTTGCTACGTTGCTCCATACCTATACAGAAAACGATGCACGCTTGGTCGCATTAACAGAGAACCAAAAGAAAGGAGACTACCTTCAAGATTAAAGTTTCCAAAAGAGAGAAAGAAAGAAAGAAAAAAGGGGAGGGGGAAAAGGCGATAAAGATATCGATGCAAGGACCGAATGAATATACTCACGATCAATAAAGGGGGGGTAATATGTGGAAATAATTTTACGTGCGTACCTTCACATGCGTCGACGACAACCTGGGCATTTATAAGATCCTGACCCTGGCAAATACTACTGGAATAGAAATCAGCCATATCCTGTAGGGATAAACCGTTATCAAAGAATGACCGTTCATCCTTCAAACCGCAGAGACACTCTAGATCGTTTAAAATCGCCATGTCAATGACATGCACAGCAAAAATGCAACAATCGATGCTAGGCATTGTGTTTGGGAAGCAAGCATTCTCCATTTCGAAAGACATATCCATGCTGTCGCATAAAACTGTCTGCGCCACCACCACGTCTTCGGAGTGTGCGATATCAAGCAAAATAATCCATATGCACATGAGGAGTGCAAGTGCCCCATTATATTAATACGGGATAATTAACACACGAGAAGTTATACGAGCAACGAGAATATGAGGATATAGAGATATATAGATACATAATGAGGTGGAGGCGTGGAGTTAGGTGTGGCTATGTGAATTTCACTGGTCATTGAGGCATGCATGTGGTGCTTGGTTGTTGAAGGCATCAGGCATGCATGCATTATATGGCAACAACTCAAAAAGCATGAAGTGTGAAGAGTAACAGCAACTTAGCATGCAGACCGGGTGCATTTTCAGGTGGTTTACACCGAAAATGGTTGCGTCGGCAGTGATCGCTCACCACTTTAGAACATGTAAACAGAAGTGTGATTAGTAGCAGCAACTTAGCATGCGGATCAGGTGCATTTTCAGGTGGTTTATACCGAAAATGGTTGCGTCTGCTGTGATCGATCACCACTTTAGAACATATAAACAGTACCAGTTCGTACCTTTATTACTGTCGGATCTGATGCAGGCACTACCAAAGTGGTGCTAATGAGGACACGAGGATTTGAGAACCGGCACCTACATATTTTGATTCCACAAGAAAAAAAACAAAAAAGAGTCAGCTCGACTTAATCGAGCCGATTTTTCCATTAAAAAATGCACGAAATGACAATTAGTTATTGTAACAAATCCAACATAATCAATATGCTCATCACGGAACAAAATTGCAGTTATTGTCATCCATAAATTAACACACCACACAATTACAGAAACTACAAGTCACAAATTCCATCACGAATCACACAGCATGGCACCTTAAAAAAATTGAAAAATATGCATTATTTCTATTTTTTTAATTATATACTTCTTTTTAAGCAGAATTGTGAAAATATGCCTGTACCGCCAGGTGGAAACGCGGGACAGAGTGTTTGGAGCGGCGTAAAAATGTGGACCACCGCTTGGGTCCCGGGCTGGCTGTCTGTTCGGCACCGCATAGTTCCTTGGGCTGGCAATGTGACACCGGCCAAGATGCAAATAAATACTATGTGCATGCATGAGGTATACGTGAGATATATGCATGCATGTGTGAGGCTATGTCGCGCGCAGCCATCTCGCGGCATTACTCAGCCGGCTCGCGATGCCGCATGCGCGGCTGACCCGCGGGACTGCAGTGCCGCACGGCCAAGCCATGGACCAATGCAACACGGTACCGTTCGTCCACGACACCGGATTGTCCCAGCAGACGGTCCCGTACCTTCACATTGCGCCAAACAATCGTGTTACCATTTCGTGGCACACGTATATTTTTATATTTTTTTCCAAAGCATGTATATAACTGTAAAAATGCTAAAAATAAAATATATTTTCATTTTTGTTTCTAATACAAACTGAATCTGAATCTGCAAGACTACAACTCAACAGTGGAGCAATGGCCTGAGGTCACGACCCAAGATCATCCACTACTTTTAAGAAGCGTTTGTGCATACGGCCAATAACCCATTTACACAGGTGTTTTCAGACATGCATGTAGCTATGGTATGTAGATATCACATGATTTGTGCGGGCGGAATACCGACCATCCTTGGAAATTTTCACGGGTGACTCTCTTAAGTACTTACCCGTGAAAATGAATTTTTAGTTTTTGATCTCTATAGGGAAAAAAACTCAAAAAAAAATCTCGTATTTTAGCAGGCATCTCTCTTATGTCACAAGTCACATGATTTCACACATGAATAGGATTCGAACCTAAGTCCTATCATTTAGTGCATAGTCTCCTTACCATCTCACATATGAAGCACTTCTGACTATGAGTTGAATGCTATTCTTTTTTACTCTACCTCTCATAAAACTTGCAACATATATTTTACACTCTAAATAATATAAAATGAAAAAGTCATCAACTAAAAAGTTGTAAACCACACCGAGCTCTACAACTTTAATATAAAGCATATCTCCATTCAAGCTCATTTGAAAAAAAAATAATTTTTTTTATAAACATATATACCAGAGAGTTTCTAATGAATATTTGCTCCCCTAAGCAATCTCAATTGAAAAAAAAGTTCAAATATAAAGTTATAGATATCATTGAGCTCTACAATTTTAATATAGAATATGTCCCTATCCAAGGTCGTTTAAAAAACTAAAAGAAACAAATTCAAAAATAGATCTGAGAACAAAAAACGAATAGAACATTTTAACTACAAAGTTGTAAATCTCGTCAAGGGCTACAATTTTCATATATAATACGTATCTGTCAGGGTTATGGATACCACATATCTAATAGTAGTTGACTAAATCTCGGCAAGACCCACCACATACCATGTTTTATACGGAAACTGACCTTGGATATGGAGAGAGTTCCGGATAAGGAAAGACAACCAGAGTTCTACATGGAAACGACAAGGACTACTCGGATTGTATCCATATTGGTTTTCCTAGTTCTACTTGGACAAGGGGACACCTATGGGTATAAATACAAGACCCCCTAGGAGGAGAGGGGACACACCCACCATAGAATACACGGAACAATAGATCAAGACACAAGATCAACATACAAGCCAACATACGCCAAGACAAGACGCCGGATATCGACTTCAGGGATAAGCACGGCTAGTCCCCTACGGTGTCTCCGGATACTGTCAGGAGAGACGAAAGCGCTATCTCTAATCTCGCCGGGCACGGATTCGAGGAGGAAGACTACCCTGTTGTCGATTACGAGTCAGAACTTCAGACCGCCATGTCGACAACAGTTAGATAGGCTACCCCAAATATTATACTGGTGTGATTATGGTGAATAAGAGCAATACCGGCTTCGGCCAACAGGATGTAGGGTTATTACCTAACAATTCAGGGGCCCGAACCTGTATAAAAATCATCGTCTCTGTCTCTTTTACCTCAGTCTCACGTATATCCTAGTACCAACGATCCCCATACTATGCAAATACCGGAATCGCGACATCAAACGTCGACAGTATCCATCTGCGGTCGTTTACAAATAAAAGAAAAATAAATATGAGATAGAAAAACAAATACTTGAATCCGTAAACAATCTCAAATAAACAAACTTTCATCTACAAAGTTGTAGATCAATTTTTTCATACAAAGTATGTCATCATCCGACTTCATTTAAAAGAGTTATGATTTTCTTTTATATTTAAGTACTACTACTGCTCTCATTTTTAAAGGCGGTTTTCATACGTAGAACCACATGCAACAATTGAATATTTGAATACTAAATAATCTCAAATGAAAAAACTTTCTACAGCAAAGATGTAGATCTATTCTAGAGCTACAATTTTCATATAAAGTTCGTCTTCATCCATGTCACACCCCACCTTGACACCACCATATAGACAATGCAAATGAGGGTACGCCATTGGGGAATGGTGAACTGTCTCGTGCATAACCGTGATGCCGATATCAGTCCTAGGATACTATGCTTACCTGCAGTAACAAAATGAACCCAACGCCCCACCAAGGCTGCTTGTTGCCTGAACTCCGTCACCCGCTAGCATTCATGCCCGAGCTCAATAGCAGGATATATGCCCCGCGAGCCTCACCACCGCCGGATCCACTGCCTGTGAGCCTAGCTCTCCCCTGCTAGATCCACCACCTATGTGCCCCCCACCGCCGGATCCACCGTCCGAATGCCTGGACAAGCTCCTCCTGTGAATTTGCCACTCCCGAACCTACCAGCGGCGGATCCACCACCCCCGTATTGGCGTGTTGCAGTCGTCGCTGTCACATATGCCATCGCCATCGCCATCGCCGCCGTGGCACCATTGCTGAGAGCACTGCGGTGGAGGTAGGAGGCTAGAGGGAGTAGGGACGGAGAGAGAGAGAGGGGAGTGGTAAAGGTGAGAAGGAGGAGAGACTTGGGGAGAAGATAGATTTAGCTGGCTCTCGCATCTAGGAGACTGCGATTTAGTATCGTGTTTTTTTTCTCATGTAGAGCGTTTTAGCGGCTGCCAATGAAAATCAAATTTTACTGGCAGTTTGTGATCGGAAACCCCTTCAATGCATTTTCACAAGTACATGTTTTTAAATCCGATAGTAGAAATAAATGGGTGGTGTCCCCAAAAATGGTTTTCTAGTGGCGTGAGGCATATCACAGAAGGGTAAATTTCACTTGACCACTGGTATTGTGGTCTATTTGCATAAAACCACATGGTTTTTGGTACGTGGCACATAACCCTAGGCATTATGATAATAAAGTTTCAAGAAATCACACTATTGATCATTTTGACTTTAATCTACCTCACTTTTCAGTTTACGATCACATCTCGAATTTACGAATTCTTTATCTATTATACAAATGTTACATACATATAAATATAAATATGGTATTTTATAATTTTGATATAGGAGTACGTCAAATTGATTAACGGTTTTGTGAAATTTTATGACCACAATAACTAGGGTTATATGCCACATGTCGAGATCCATGTGGTTTTGTGTAACCTGAACTATAATAGGTGGGGTTTTATGAAATTTACTCTGATAAATTTATATAACATGCTAATGATGGAATTTGTTGGGCCCTTTAGTCACAAAAGCTAGCTTATTAGAATTAAAAAAAAGAGTATATTATCCCTCCCTCGATGATGAGGTAAACTAGGTGTGTTGAAAGTTTTGGCTTGTTCGCTTGAGCTACATTGCAGCCAGTTGTGGCTGGCTGCAGTACGGTACAAGCCAATACAAATTTTACTGCATTTGATGTAGCTGGTGTGGCTGTATATATAGAAGCAGCCATATCCATCGAACACACCTGGAGAATACCACACTCATGGAGTCAAGTAGATCATCTTATGCATCAACCGTAGAAATTAGATTTTTCTCTTTTTATACCACTCGTGAATATGAGTCATCTATTGTAGTAGATGTAATGGACCAGATCTGTTACTACCGCTCATGTTAGATTGGGTAGTGATGTAGTAGAAGAGTGAAGTACATTGACGGTCCTATACTTGTACGTGTGTGTCATCTAGATTACTTGTACGGGTGTATCATCTAGATTCCTAAACTCACAAAATGTATTTTTAGGTCTCTGGATTTATCTTAGGTGTGTCATATAGGTCCAGACGGATTCTAAACCATTCCAATGCTCTGATGTGATATTCTATGGTGACGTCTGTGTGTTAGTGAGTGCCACCATGTCAATCACATATATGAAGAGTGGGATTGAGAATTTTCTAATCAAGGTATTACAGAAAGTTAAACTATCCAGACTGTATCCCTGGTATCATCCTTCAATACGTTTGCTACTTTGGGGATAGTAGATAATATAGTTATCATGCCGATGCATTCCCAAGGCAACATATAATGCTTTCGTTAATTTTTTTTAGTGGTTTATAGTAAGCTTTCCTGCAGTTGAGTAGTTAGGAAAAAAATATCGGGCTCCTGAAAATCTGAATTTGAAATCACTGATGGAATCATTTTGTTCTATGACTTCTATCAGCTAGCCAAATTTTCTTCAGGATGTTGTCATGCATGATTTTACCGCATCTTGTTATTTATGGTTCTCAATAGAAATGATTTTGACTTTCAGTAGTGTGTGATTTGGCCTTCAGGATCTTGTACATATAGTAATTTTGGATCAGCAATTCGTCCACTCTAACTTTATTTAATGTATGTATGGTGAAGGAAATATGGAGTTAGACCAGAAAAGTTCATGAAGCTGGAAGCAGTTTGTTTCTCGCTTTTCAAATGAAGCGGCTGGTTTATCATCATGAAGAGGAAAATATATACATTGCCTTTTGAGAATTATGTGTCATGAAGCTGGAAGAAAAAAAAATGGTGTTCGTATTTAGTATTGTACCTGTTCTGTCCCTGAAAAATGAAGTGTTAAACGCATGTTAATTCTCACATCCTATACGGCTATATGTTGAGTTCTTATTTAGTATTGTACTTACCTATTAAATCCCTGGAAGCTGTATTAATGAACACATGTTAATCCTGATATATCCTATGTGTGGATTTGTTTTAGGCCTATAGTTGTTAGATCCGATTATTTACCAATATTAGTGCTTGTGGTTTTGGTTTTGTTTGGCTTTGCTATTGTTATTTGGGCACACTCTTATGCGGGCTAACCCACGGTGACCGTGGTGCACACTGAATTCGGGGGAAGGAGGGGTGGCACTACTCTGCCTGTGCAACGGCAGACTATGGCCACGAGCACAAGATTATGCCAGCGGCTGTTCCTCCTGCTTCAACAACTTGTGATGGAACGAAATTATTGGACCTGCAAAGCTGGCATGCTTGGCCAATGATACGATCACGACGACTAAATTGCCCTTCCACTTAAGCAAATGACTGAGGACCAACAAAATCAACAGTGAGATCTATTCCTACTCAGCGGCGAAGGTATTGCGGTGGGGTTGCCAGAGTCGAGCCATCGTCCACGGGTTTATGCTCTGTCTTAATACCCTAAATATTTGAGCTCTAATTTTCCTAGTTCCTAAGAGAATGGAGCCAATCCACTGATAATACAATTCAGTCACGTATTATGTTCTTTGAAAAAAAAATCAGCCACTTATTAAAATCGAATCATCTAGCCAAGATGAACAAGAAGCCGGATGATTGCTTTTACATATATTGGTTCCTTATGTATTAGCTATAATAAAGGCATATACTTTTTTTTCGTGGACGTGGCTTATTGGCTTGTCTCCTCTTTCTCAAATCCTGGCTTAATTCGCCCTTGTTCCTACTAAAATATTGCCACCCCTAGTGGGAGGTATTGTAAAATGACTATAGAAAATTGACGTTCACAATCAACCGTCAGTTGACATGGCTAACTTATGCAACAAAATATTATAGCAGCAACAAGACAATATGATATGTATAACTTAGAATCATTACTTGAGATAACAAACCAAAAACCTACACCAAATGACAGCTTTGCATGCTAATCTTGATTGAGTTATCTAGTTTCTGAGAAATTGTCCATCCAACATGGTGTGTATGGAAATGACCGGTTTATATTTCCATTTCGAACGAAGTACTCACGATGTTTCGGGCATAAATTTCCCAAATATTGGAGCTTTGTGCTATTCCAATGATATGCCAATCCTTTCGAGGAACTAAAAAAACCATCTCTTTATATGGATGAAAGCCGAGGAAATCAAGACTGCCACTTTTATAGTTCTCAAAACATTCTTGAGTGTCTACAACACTATCATCGTCAAAATTCCATTTAAAATTATTTTCATCCAATGCTTCATCACTATCGTCGTCATCACTATCGCTTTGATAATCAGGATGAGAGGGATCATACTCCCAATCATATAAATTCCATTCACCAGGAAACTTTTGACAGTAAAGATGATAGTTAACATTCTGTAAAATCCATGGCCGGCGAGCTTGTTTTCCACAGTTCAAACGTAGCAACAAAGGCATAAGGTTGTTCTGGTGCTTCGGTAACCACTCAAAATGACCACATGATTCATTAAGGACCCAAATTGAAAGATTATGGTCAAATTCAAGTGACGCGAGGTACACCCCTTTCTCTGATTTTCCAATTAAAAAATTTGGTTTAAACTTCTTGTAGTAAACTGTGGGATGTTTAATTACTTGATATTTTCCATCAGACAGAGATATCCTGCAAAGAACAAAGATATAGAGATGCACACATTACCAGACATAAAAAAGATTTCAACTTGTAAGGATTTGAAATTTACAAAATTAGTAAACAAATAGTGTAAAGAGATCAAACCTCATTACATGGCATGTGTTCACATAAAGTACTCCCCTCCAATAAGCATGTCCGTGTTGAATCCACGGCCATGGCTGCCTCTGTGCATCGGCATGTGTTCCTGTGGCATCCCCTTCTCTGGTGAAAGATCTCTCGTCCCATTGGCCTGTGGCCGAGGAGAAGACACGTAGGACGAGGGACGATGGTGGCCATTCCGATTCCTTCAAGACGGGATCCATCCGGTCGACGTAGTCCGTCGTCCCACCGTATGGGATCTTGAACACCTCGTAGTGCAGCGATATGGTGGGGTCGAAGATGATGAATTCGTTATAAAACAATCCTTGAGGCACGGTGAAGTGGCGTGGCAATGGTGGCAAGCGCGCCCATCTCCGAGTGGCCGGGTTCACCACGACGCCGGGGAGCATGAGGAGGCCGTTGCAGTGGCCTGTTATGGCGTAGATGCTGTGGAGATCTATTTTGATGGGCAAGAAGTCGAGCTTGCCGCTGATCGTCGACGGTGAGGTCGATGAGGTTGGGCGGGAGAAGAAGTCCGGAAACCTAAGGCCCCAGAAGTCGATAAATATGACAGCGAGCGACAGCGGGAGGAGGTCCGCACGTAGCAGCCGGCGGGAGTCAATGGTAGAACGCCAGTCCGTGCAAACGCACCGCGACGCCGCGAGGCTGCGCGGGGGCAGGCGGCGAGGATCTCGGCGAGGATTTCCTCCGGTAGCAGCAGCACCACCTCGTCGGCCGGTTGATCCTCCTCCATCATCTCCACGTACGTATTGGTGGAACGGGTCGACGGACAGCAACTCCTTTTTTATTACATTACAATGATCGACTAGCTAGGCATGTAAAAATACAGGCTAACACATATATATGAGACTTCGATTCGGACTGGGATCATGCAGTACGTACGTATACTACTACAACTCGCATCGTATAGAGGTATAACCCATACGTGTTCCACCGAACAAACAACCAAAAAGAAAACAAATACAGCAAAGATAATGCAATAGGGATATAAGTATAGTAGTACTTCGTCTATTGCACTTTTTTTTCATCGATAACTGCTTTTCAGTTTACCATTTAGTACAAAGGGCTTATATACACAAAATCATGTATTCCACTGTCCAATTGGGTTTATATATACACCTATGCACATCCTAAATATAATATTGCATCCATGTTTTTTCCCCAAGTATGAATGATTTAGCATCTCCTCTGTCCAGGCTAATCTTCCAATTGCAGACAGGTGAGGCATGTTGTCACTGAAGAATAGTGCAAACTAAAAAATATTTTTTTCTAGGACACATATCCAGATGAACTCTTGTATATCTCATCGGCCTGCGCTACGGGGACGTAGATGACATCCTTCAAGGAGCTGTTAGTTCGTCCGTACAAAATGTACACCAAGACGCCTATCAGCAGCCATATGCCTACTCTCATCCATGCCTCTCCACTGAACAAGACAATGCAAAATGAATTAATGTTCATGATGGATGGTAGAGAAAATGGTGAGATTAAAGGCATCTAGTGGTATGGAAAAAGAAAAAAAAATACTCCATACGTTTTATATTGTAAGTCACTTTGGGTTTTTACGTCAAACCTCTTCTAGTCCGATCAAGTGTACAGAAAAATATATCAATATCTCCAACAAAAAATAAATTTACTATAAAAATATAATATAGTCAATATGGATTTATTGAAACTAAATTGGTGCTGCAGATGTTACTACATTTTTCTAGCACAAACCCAAAGTGGTTTATAATATGAGACGGAGGGAGTAATAATTTGGGTAAGTCAGACACGAACCCCAGATTTATCAACAGGTATGTGTTTACGAGGATAGACAAGACTGGCAGAAGTGGAACGAAAGGGCATGTAAATCCTGCACAAGAAGTGTGCTGTTTAGTCCGAATGTACTGGCAGAATAAAGCAGTGTTTTATCCTTCCTAAAAAGAGAGAACAGTTTGCTATGTACCTCCAGATTGGCCGAAAGAATGCCTGCCATCATCTTGGTCGATCCAGCAGAGGAGGCCAAGACCGGCTACAAGCAACAGAGCGCCAACGATGCAGCCAATACACATAGGAAGACTGGCATCAACAACAGATAGAGGTTATTCTCGAAACAGGAAGGAACCTGGCTATCACTACATACTGTTTTTGTGCATCATTGACACTTACAAAGGCAGCCATGTGGCAGAAGCTGCGGATGTGAGAACCATAACTCCAACACAAACAGATCCTATGCTGAAAGCGGCCACCTTCCGACGCTTCATCTCGTCCATCTTTCCTGCAGAGTTTATCAGAAGATTTCTTGTTGGATAACTGAAGTAAATAAAATACAGCAGTTATAAGAAAAATGGGAATGCAATTTACTTGTTATTTTCTTCTCAATGAGAGGATCCTCCATAGATTCTGCGAGAATCACATCCTTTGTTTCAGATGTTTTGCATCTCTCATCTCCAAGAATACCGCTAACCCTTTCCTCATCATATTCTTGGCTCAAACAGAATGTTTCTTGCAGAGATGAAGGCAGAGGAACCTCATCCGGAGGAATATATCTGAGTATTAAGATCGAGACAGCAACTATGGTGAATGCAAGGAGTGTACCTACACTGACCTGCAACAAATGAGTATTTAATTTTATCTCCACCTTACAATCTCTGTAATGCTTAATGGCAAGTATGGTCTTATAGAATGCACCTCTCATTGCAAAAGACCATCAGTATATCCAAAGATAACAGCCGGGTAAGTTCCTTACCATTCCTGCCAGCTGGGAAACATCCATGAAAAAAGCCAGAGCTGCTGCACAGAGACCAGTCACGACTGTGCTCTTTACAGGAACTTGTGTCCTCTTGTTAACATCGGCGAAGAAAGATGGCAGCAGCCCGTCTCGTGCCATCGCCATTAGTATTCTAGGCTGCATGAAATGGCAACTAAAATCTTTAAAATGTATTTTAAAAAACAAGGTAATGCATCCCCAAGTTCTCAGTTTCACATAATAATGTGCAAGGAAAGAGTGGGCGGGTGGGTGTCTGTTTCTAAGTTTATGTTTTTGTGTTCTCATTTGAGTTTGTCTGTGTAGGCATGGGATCAGTTTTACGTATAAGGCAATCAGGGATAGCTCAAATGTAACAAGTACTGGTATACATGCCACATCATCAATCTAGTGTTGATGTGTGTGCTACAAATTTCATTTATGTTGATATGGTATTAGTTCAATATACATTTGCAGGTACTATAGTTTATTTTGTCAAAACAGAGCCTATCGGCAAAATTGCAAGGAGAGAAACAACGTTAATCATTATATGAATAGTTTAATTAAAATTCAAAAATCAGAATGCAAGTGAAAAGTGCAATCAACTGCTCGCTAATGTACTGCAGAATAATTGACCTTATGGACCAAGCAGTTTGATTCAGATTCAGAAATCAGAATACAAGTGAGAAGTACAACAAAAAAATAACTTTTTTTCCACAAGGATTATAGATTCAGCTTTGGCTAGTTAGAAGACCACTCTCACTAATATAATGCGGAATAATTGACTGTGATATTAGAACGCAAATTCCTTATGGACCAAGCATATAGTAGACGACTAGAATCAACTCTATGTGCTCACTGTCTTGTTTAAAGCTTGGGAATTATTAGGATTTTTTTTTATATCGAGGGATGTGTTTGTATACCTGCGGAAGAAGTGACCCCAACAAAGTTGAACAAAGTGCAAGAACAGCACCACTTGTCACAATATACCTAAAACAAAACAGCATAGTGACAGACTAAATAAGCACGTTGCAAGACCATTATAGATAATTGGATATATGGGAATAAACAAAAGGAGAGCGAGTCCTTACATGGCCCACTGCATTCCATGTTTCGCAAAGACAGATGAAATGGGCGTATCTGGGTCCATAGCGAAATATGGTACCAGCCCAACAATAACAACAGAAACCATCATGTACAAGCAACAGCAGATAGACAATGCCGCTCCTATTCCCAGTGGTAGATCTCTCTGTGGATTCTTCACCTATAAGGGTTGAAAGAGGGAAAAATCAGCATCCCCATACAGGAAGTGGACGACATGGTTAGTTAGGATCATCTTAACCTCCTCAGCAGTACTAGCAACTGTATCAAAGCCAATATATGCAAAGAAAACAGTTGCTGATCCAGCAAGCATTCCATTTATCCCATGTGGAAAATATCTGAAATGTTCAAATGGTAAGTGCATCAGTAATTACTCTCAAAATACAATCAACTGTTTTTTTTTTTTTGCATTACCCATCAGTAACTTTATAGCCAACCCATCCTATCTGGAAGCCGATATAACTACCAGCTACAATAACAAATATCATCACACAAGCATTCAGAACTGTTATAAGCTCTTGTACAGCTGAACTCTGCAACAGATTCAAATAGAATAATTAGTAACAGTCCTATAATCCTAGTTTGCAGATGAAAGAATAGGAAACTTACAAATCGACCAATGTAACAACCTCTTTTATCCCAACACATAGCAAAACAGTAACAACAAAAACGAGGGCAGCGGCACAGGGATCAACAATGACATCAAACCATGGAAGCTGGTGGCGTGATAAAATCCATGGAAGACTGTCTGGTCCTCCAAAGAACAAGGCCTGAAAGACGAGCGAAACTTATGAAAATAGAATATATGAGACATGTAGTTCGAATATTGATCAAATGCCATAGAACTAGATGAAGGAAAAACGACACTTACAAGATTGGGGGATATGCCACGGGCAACAGCAGATCCACCAATAGTATATTCCAGCACTAAAGCCCAACCAATCAACCAGGCAACACTAGAAAAATAAAAATGAGTCATGTGAGAAACTCTAGTCATCTGTTTACAGTATCTTAGATTGTTAATCCTCCTTTATGACAATAGATTTGACAATATCACAGACTATCAAAGGTGCAATATTTCTTCCATGAAGAGTGTGTATTCCATTATGGTGTAAGTAATTTACCCTTCACCAACGCAGATGTATGAATAATGGTAGGCGCTTCCAGCAGATGGGCACCGACTAGCAAGCTCGGCATAACAGAAGGCTGAGAGCGCGGAAGCTATTCCAGCTATCAGAAATGAAATTGTCAATGCTGGACCAGCATGCTCCCTAGCAACTGTTCCGACAAGAACATATACCCCAGCTCCAATTGTTGAACCGACACCTGGTAGATAACACAAACGCTCACTAAAACAATTCATGTAACATGGACAGTTCATGTAAACAAATACTCCCTCCGTCCCAAAATATAACAACTTCTAGCCGCTAGAATTTGTCCTAAAATATAACAACTTCTACACCAATATTCTCTTCTCAACCAATCACAACCATCCACTATTCGATTTTCCTACCTACATCCACTTCTCATCCAATCACAACTCTCCCCTATTTAATTCTACTTACTTTCTTAATAACCGTGTCTAACTCTAAAAATGCTTATATTTTGGGACAAAGGGAGTATTTCTCTACACCTAGGTAGAATTACAATCATTCACCTTGCATCAACTTATGAACTAGATTAATTTACTGCGTAGAACTTATGAGCTCGATTAATTTACTGTGTAGAAAGAAGTTCACTACAGTGTAATTAGTTAATGCCTCCCACAAAAACAAGTGTTTATGTATTACAGAGCTAAAGTTTTTTTTGTTTGAGGGAATTTACAGGTCTAAAGTTGGAGGATCATTTTCCATTTTTGAAAGTCAAAGATCATGAGAGATACACCATAACACCAACAGAGACTTGGAGATAGACAACTAACAAGTAGAAGAAGTTGGAGATAGACAACTAAAAAGTAGTAGAAGCACAGCAGCTAGAAATAGCGTTATACTAGTATACTACCACAGTACCACACACACTTACTCCTATACACTTAATGAATTTCTGTCACAAACTAATGCAAAGCATTCAGATATATGTAATAAACAACTGGAGAACTATTAAAAAATGGATTCCCCAATGTATGATGCTAGTCATTCCAACTCCATGAATGAAAGAATGAAACTTCTAAAGAAAGAACAAATATAAATTTGCCAGCTGAATCTTCAAACTTTTAAATAGGCCAACCAACTAAACATTGAAACCACAATAAACATCTAATAATTCTCTGGTTCCAAAAGGCTGTACATTCATAAACATTTCACAATGAATATATGCATAAACTAATTTCAACACAAGTAATCAAAATTTCAAAAAAAAAAGAAAAGAAAAGAAAAAACACGTCATACAAAAGAAAAAAGAAAGCCAACAAATCATTTCTCTCATTAAAAAACATAAGAATCAGGAATTCGATGAACATACCGATCGCGACCAGCGCCGGGATGTTAAGCTCCTTGGCGAGCTGGGGTTGCCCTTCCCCCTCGGCGGCGCGGACCCGGTCGGAGTCCACCTGCTTCCGCCGCATCAGGCTCGGGAACCCGCCTCCCCATCCCCTCCTCCTCCTCCTCCTGCCAACCTCGCCGCCGCCATCCAATGCCATCACGATCGCCCAAGAACCACCAAGATTCCCGCGGGCGGTCGCGCGCGCAACAAAGAAACGCGGGATTCGGATTCGGTCAGAGAAGAACACGGATATCGAGGCTTGGAGATTGAGGAAGGAGGGGAAGAAAGCGAGGGGGGGGGGGAGTTTAGCCGCCGAGGCTGGGAGAGCTCGACTGCTTCCTCCGCCCTCGCTCTCTTGGTTTCTTCTCCTCTCTCTCGCTCGCCTTCTCGTTGGAATCTTCTTCCGCTGTGGGGGGAGGCGAGGAGGAGAGCGAGGGGGAGGAGAATCTTATAGCGATCCACGTGGAGGGTTTCACTTTTTACCATGGTATAAAGATAGCCGAGTTAAATTAAAAAGAAGAAAGAGGAGGAGAAAACAACTTGGGAAAAGGAATATTTTCCTTTTTTGCTACATGTACGCTCGATACAACGAAAGCTTTGAGATTCAGTTGCCTTATTCAACTGATTCCCGAGATTCTCGTTTACAATTTTAGTAAACAAACAAGTACATGATGAGGGTATAAACGGGTTTATGTCCACGTCTTTTTTTAAAAGAAAAACACACTGTAGCATGGCTAAGGGCCTGTTTATTTCTGCATGTTTTTCATAGAATATTCAGCCATGCGTAAAACGATAAAGTTCATTAGAGCATAATTAATTAATTATTAACTACTATAAAATTAAAAATAGATTTTATTTCACTTTAGAAAAATATATAGAAATTTGTTGCACGAAATATATTGTGTAGTAGTTCGTAAAGTATGATAACGGAAATGAAGTTGTTATTTGGAGATGCAGAAAAGAACTCAGCCTAAATAAACTAAATAAACAAGTAATGCAATTAATCGATCATCTAAACAAATCAGTGAGTCATTTTCTCATAGCTTACCTGAACATAAACTCAATCAGCATGCCATGTTTACCTCATTCCTTAACACAGTACCATTTAATTGTATAGAGTAGGTGTAGTATGCCATTACACGAGAATACGAGGCAAATAAAAATATCTTTATTCTTTTCCAATACACAGACAAGGCTTCATTCTAAAATTCATTTTTTCTTCATTCTAAAAAAAAAATACACAGACAAGGCTGTGGTCCTGTGGAGTGGGTCTTTGACGACAAGAGTTCGTAATCACACGTTCTCCACGCGCAGGAATGTCATAAGCTGGTTTATATACTGATTAATACTATCATCTCACCAAACCATTATTTTGTTCTGTCCCTCTCTATCTCCTTTAATCTATGCCGTGGTGAGTAGTTCGTAGTACCTGACGCAGGCGGCAGCACAAGATGCAGCAGAGGCGTTAGGCAATGAGAAATCCGGACACTAAGACGGAAGTGATGGAATAGAAATTTGAAATTATCCGTATTAGAATGGGGAGAAACTCATGCGATAGAGACGTGCGTTGGCGAGAAACACTCAAGAGTCTTCCGGATAGCCTTGTGAAAAGGTGGTAGGTTAGCCGGTCTATATTCGAAGTCTTACCCCTTCTAATTACTCCCTCCATCTCAGAATATAACAACATATAACCGGATGTGACGTTTCCTAGTACTACATGTCCATATCCAGATTTATAGTAAACGTCCCATCCGATCATTTTTTTTAGTATTCACGTTTTTTTTCGTGCGTTGGCCAATAATTGGAGGCCTCCAGTGGAGGGTGTGGGGTCGAGAGACGAGAAGAGGATCCACTGGAGATGGGAGGGTTTTGTCTGCACTCTGCAGGCAGACCCAGGGGAGGAGGCTGGTGGGAGGAAGAAGAGACGGCCAAGACACAGATCCACAAGAGATGGGTCGAATCGAATCGATTCGTGCAGCGTGCGCGTCCGATTATTATTCCATCTCCATACGCACGGCTCGTCAGCTGATTGATAACATCGGAATCCAAATGATACTGTATTATGCTACAAGCAGCACTAGTTCTTGTTTAACAGCTTTCAGATTTTTATGAAGGGACCAAACATTCGTACCAGCAAACATTCTGCATCAGTAGCCTCGTCCAGATGCGTGAGAATTGTGGACGACGTTTGTGCGGCTGGACGACGAACACGACTTCACATAAATGTTTTTCCTATATGAGAAAAAGCAAACACTCGTATTACTCCGTAGTTGATTAAGCAACTGTGGTCCTAATTTAGAAAAGAAAACAGTGGTCCTCGTTCTTTACCCCTGTCATAGAATGGAAACGATGGGCACGCATGCCTTTAGAAAAATTGAAAAGGAGAAAAGAATCGCCTGGGATGCCTTGCAGAAGAGCAGACGCAAGGAACTGAGGGGTAAAAGAAACTAAAACAATAGGAAGAGAATTGTAGTTGCATGATTCTTTCAAGCCCACATCCTATCGACATCATACTCCCTTGGCTTCTTGCTGCCCTTACCTCATATCGACATCGAAGTCAACACGGAGATCCCAAGCATTACATTTCCTGCCATGTGTTCCTCTTAGCCATAAGATGAGCTACCACTGTAATCCTAATACCGATCCAACGTTCCAACAGGATTGATTTATCAATTATGATGGATCGAATAGACTGCATTTACACAAGTTCGAGCCCTCTGGTAAGTCGATCAACTCTAGGCAACTAGCTAACTACCGATCCATGGCCCGTTACGAACTAAGCTAAATCTACCATTAGTTAACTTGAGATCGCTAACTAACTACAGTCACCAAGAAGCATGAACCGTGGGAACAATAGTGGAAATAATAGAAATGCTAACCCTACTGCTAACTAGCTTTCTTACTGCCTCCTACTTCTACAGAGCGTGCACAGCATCAGCAATTCGGCATAGCCTCTTAGCATGCCAAGATCAATACCACCTGAACAGCCCGGTATCAGCTTCCTGTGCTGTTTCTTCGGATGAATTTGAGGAACTCTCGATGAGCTCGTCCTCCGAGGCGTCATCTTGCTGCTCTACTCGTAGCCGGTGAGCATTATCAGCAACCCATCTAGCAAACTCTGGGGTTGCCGTGCACTCCATAAGTGCCTTTCTGGTGGATTTCTGGGTGAAGTCATCCCATTCTTCCTTTGAATATTTCCTTGGTTGGATATTGTGGAAGGTGGAGTAGTGGTCTTCATCTTGATTATCGGGTACCACCCTCTTTGTAAGTGTTGGAGACACCAGTCCTGCAAAAACCAGTAGAAAGCCAATTTCAAATGCTACAAATACGATGCTTTTAAAGATACTCAAGTTAATCATGCTTAAAAGAGCACCATTCTAGTACAACACACAGACAAAAATTAAAACAGCACTTCAAAAGTTCAAATGTGTTAATATTCTTACTGACAGTTCACTATAGGGGGTACAGACCAGCCCCAAAAAATCATTTCCAGGAAGGCATACAACAGTAGCAGTTATGTTACCTCCATTGGCTAAATTGCTCCAGCCATACTGTGTGGCTGAACTGTTTGATGTGGTTCTTCCAATATCCCTCTTGGATGGGCTTAAGAATTGGATTTGGCGAGGGTTAGGTGATCCTTTATTATACATTGGCTGAGTAGAAGCCTTTGATTGCTTTTGCTTCCTGCAGCAGAATCAGCATGTTGAGGACTTCAATGACAGTGAACGTGCACACAGACCAGAGATAGCTGAAGGGACTCACAGTGTCATTGACTTTGGAGCTCTATATGCTGTGAACACAGAACAAATCCACCAACTAGCGGCCAGCGCGAATAACGCTAGAAGAGGATCAAGTGTGCTCTGCAAAATAAATACATACCAGACATGTTCTTAGGGAACTAAACAAGATAATAAAATCTGGCAGATTTAGTAACCACGGCTCAGAAACCAAGAAAATGCCAAAGATATGTAAAAATAAACCACACCTGCATAACAAAGCATATAGCAACAACACGCATAGCCCACTTCACAAACTGTGCTATCCCAGCATCAACACTACCATCTTTTGAAAGGATGAATCTTCTGACCATCCAATAACCAAAACCAGCGCCAGTCAAGACAATTGCTACCAGCAGGAAGATTGATACCTGTAATCCAGTTTTAACTCATTACATTAGGTGGCACAATGTAAACAAACACGCATGTAACATAATAGATTCCATTGTTCATGCAACAAGAAGCGAGGGATCACAAAATTATGTGTTAACTACTGAAAATAGATATTCAATTATATTGTGCATAATGGTATCACATGCATATGCTAAATAAGTAAACAAGCAGGCCTACCATGCATAGATGAAAATAAAGATATACAATTCCATATGTAGACAAAAAATAATAATTGTAATTTATATTATGCTTTTGCACATATAGTAGCTTTTTTAGCATCAAAACATCAATAACAAGGAGAAAAAATCCCAGAGTCCGAAATTGGACTCCACCTGTGGTGGATTCCAGGTAGTATTTCGCACATCCAATTTTTTTAAAAAACGAATTGGACATGGAAATCCGAGACAGAACCTGACACGTGTCAGTGTCCAGATAACACTGAATCTGAGCAGTAGAACTTGAAATCAGCGTCTTTTCACAAAATATAAGCCCTGCCCTGTAAATCAAATTACTGATGTTCCAACCCAACATTAATAACTATGCTACCGTATGATTTCCTACCCTAGAAAAATCACGCATTATTATTGATTACTTTTATAGTTTGTAGTCATCTCATGTTAGTCCCAACACTTACTATTGAATCATTCAATAGGGCACTGTTTGAATCAAATCTTAGGGGACAATTTAGAGAGAGGTTTCAAGTCAATTTACTACTGGAGAAAATAAGGATAAAGTATGAACACCAAAATGAACAGGAAAACACAAAATAAACTTTACTGGTAGTTACAATTCAGCTTAGACAGGACAAAAGTAAAATAAAGAACCAAGAACACTTTACTTTAGCTTTAATACAAATGCATTATTATTTCTATAATTCATTTTTCAAATTCATATTTTTCTGAAGTGGTTTATTAGTCATTACAACTTAACAACAGATGATGTGCTTTGTGCCCTATGGAACAGAAATTATAAGCAAGCAGATAGCAAGCAAATATACTATGTCAAGTAATAAACGGATCAGTTAATTGATATCATTGACACATTCAAGAGGAATGACTTACAGGGTTGTGCATCTCTTCACTCAAACCAAAATTTTCCAGAATAGAAGCAACCAATGTGGAGAAATAATGTACAGCATAGGAGCCAACCCCTACCTGAACATCAGAATAGTAATGATAAACATGTAAGAAGAATTAATTGCAATTTCCTGAAGAGTATATCAATAAAATTAATACCAGGAAGTTGTGGGCATAGGTAACTTACCACAGATCCATAAATTGTGAGGTAAAATAAACTTTTCCTGCCCATTGGTAACAATTTCATCCCCTATAACGAAAAATAGGTCAGACCATCAATCAATTTTTTTTCGCCAGGACAGACCATCAATCAATTTGATAGAACACATTTTTCCATAAGCAAAATAAAATACTTGTTAAAATTGAGTCACTGATCGTTCCTTATCAAAAGAAAATGTTATTACTTCTTGGTCTTGTCACAGAATTTAGAGTTGCTTCATGCTCTATTTTACAGGAAACTAAGAGAAAAATAAAACTATCTTCGCTAATTAGAGCAAGAGATCTAAGTTTAGACTTGAAAATATTATGAATAAACTCAAGAGTGAGGTGTTTTAGCGAAATGCAGTAAGTTAACAATGTATATTACTCCTTAATAATAAACTTGGTGGAAGTGCCCCAATAACAAAATGCAGCCAGTTAACTTAACAATGTTGTATTTTCATGTCTTTCAATATGAGTCTTTATTGAACAGTAAGTTGGTGTTCCCTTAGCAAGCACCTAGCCTGTCTAGGAACTATTTAGGCAGTTGCTGCTGGCCAGCCACAATACGAAGTGTCTATACCAACAATGATAAAAAGAAACATACAAAATTATTTGATTGAGAATACCTGGAAAAGGACAATCAGAACAACAAGCAGGACCCCAAGAGCCATAGAACTGCTATAGTAAAAAGGCGCCCATTTGCTAACAATGGGTGATAGGAATAGCAGAATAAATCCAATACCGAGGCAAGCTAGACGCCATTTCTGAAACTCTGCATAAATACACAGAACAAGAACAGTAATTATAGGGAAGGAATGGACATAGATGCTCTTGATTGTATGACTGGTAGAACAAATATTAGGTTCATGAATAATACACACCTTCTTGAATGGAAATACTGAACCTAGTAGATGTCTTATCAGCCACTTTAACATCAACATATTTGTTTCCATATGGAGACTTTACAGCATTCCACATGCCATTTTGCAAATTTTGCCATTCACCTGTCTCACATTGGCATAATCCCATAGAAGCATTCCTGCAAAGGAAAATTGACTCATTTCTTTCCCGAAGCATGTGTATATTTACACTTTGGACAGTATGACTTACCCATGAAAGCAAATTTCTATTTTCCAATGGAACTTTTCAGGCATTGATTGGGAAACATTCATTTTGACTCGTATTTGATTTGCATAGCTTCCAATATGTAACTTCGGTATTCCAGACAAGCGAACTCGCTCGCAAAACTGTCCACCCAGGGATGAAGGAACAAAAGTCACCTCTGGATTTTCCAGACTAACATCTGCGGAAGTAATCAATTAGACCAGCATGTTAGGTAGAAGACATTGGAACACAAAAAAATAATAATAATAGGACATTGGAACCATATAGGCAAACCTACAAGGGGATTATCATACAAAAATCCAAGTGTTGTGCTAAAAGGAACATGTAAGTAAAAGGGCTATACATGAAAAGAAGCTCATACCAAACACACAGGTGAATCGGAACAAAGTGGGTACGGTCTAGCTATTAAGAGATGTTATTCAGGTAAAAATCATCCATCTGTATACTTCAAAATGACAATACTTATCCTTCAGCCAAGGCCGAAACCACTGAATACAAAACAAATTTTGAGACATTATCAAAAATGCATTGGTTCTGAAGTAAAAGGAGAGGCATGTTACTGCAGATTTATTCGCGACAAAAGAGTTGCAACTTTCCAATCACCCCTCCACAAACCAACTCCAAAACCCTATTCTATAACTAAGCCCCATGAAAACCTAAAATATGAAGCAGCTACCAGACGCATCTTACAGCGAAAACCCCAAACCACCCCAAAGGCCCCTAAACCCTAGATAGAACGGCGCTACGATCCCCGTGCAAACGCAGCAGCAGTCCCAAATCCGGCCCATGGTGCACCAAACAGCGGGCACGATTATACCTTTGATGGACCGCCCCACGGCGGCGGAATCGAAGGCCGCGGTGTCATCGCCGGTGGAGATGATGAGGAGCGCGGCGAGCGAGGCTAGGAGCAGGAGCGGGGGAGCCGTGCGCCGGTACGACGAATGGGAGGTGGAGGTGGCGGCGGCGGCGGCGGTCGAGGGCGCGCTACCGGCGGAGGAGCCGGTGGTCTCCGCCGACGACGAGGAGACTTCGGCGGCGGGGGCCATCTCGCGCGGGCGGCGGCGACGCTGCAAATTCAAGCGACTCTTCTTCTTCTTTTTTTTTTGTTTTATTGCTATTATTATCTGATGAAGAAAGCGAGGGGAAAAGGAGATTGGTTTTTATGGCGAAACAGCTGATTGTCTTCGATGGTAAGCTACGGCTATTGTCACTGACAGGTGGGCCTGTTTTTTGCTGACTCGGCGCTTCTTAGGCTTATTTTATTGCGAGGAAATTCCTGATGAGTTTGTGAGGGAGACTCCTCCGTTGACCGTCAAGACCTCCGAGCAAAGAGGCTGACACGCGGGCCCATGCCCGCCAATCCGCCATGGCTACCGCAATAGTCGGTTAGCGCGTACTTGGTTTCGGTGAGTACCTAAATTTTGACAAATTGACCCCTTCTCAAAAAAATTATTTTAAAAATGGTAAAAGATTTTGTTTTGAAAATGAACTACAAACTACAAATTCAGCGTAAGCCCGATAGCATTGAGATCAAACGTGCACCCCAAATTCACATTCGCCTCACGAGGCACGAGGGGACTACATGTAAGCACACGAGGCTAAACATACACGATTACATATATATATATATAAATGATCAATCGCATTTTGATGACCATTTGGACAAGAAGCAAATCACGGGTATTAGAATCCCAATTACACAGTGAGAGACAGAACGTGGAAGATTTTCTTGATTTCTGCAGAAAATAAGCTTGTTTCATTGCGTTTTCTTTCGTCATGGACTAGAAGAGTTTGCAGGACCCGTAAGGTCAAATGCGTAGTTGGCCAAGTCATCCATGTACTCATCAAGAGCACTCTCAGATATCTCGAAGTTGTGCTCGATCAGCTGCACGCATGGGGGAATAATTAGGGAAACACAACAAGAACGAAGCCAATTCAAGCAAAGGTAACACGAACAAGGTGGTTGGTACCTTGATTTCACTCATCAGCTCCCTCTCCATCATCTGTATCACACGTTTTTTTCAAGAAAAAACACGAGCAGAAGATGCACATAAACATTGTTATCTGGAAGTTCTGTATCATGAAGTTTTCAATATCTGATTAATTCAAAGAGGTGCAAATATGATGATGTCATTCTACCTGCAAATCGTCCACAGAGAAACTGGTCTCTACCATCTGCAAAGGCGCAGCATCGATGTTAAGTTGCGATCGCATAGAACAAGTGCATTTGCAGGTGTGTCGCGAAAAACATACCTCTATATCGTGATCCAACAGCAAATCGTTCAACATCTGCATCACATGTTGAATTCATCATGACGATATATACCCTCAAATCAGGTACAAGAAGGCAAAACTTCAATTAAAGATGAAAGAAGATTTGTACCTCGATTTCAGCCATAGCGGCATCGTTGTCCCTAACCATCTCAGATGCCCTGCACATCGCAACATGTTTTTTTGAGATAATGAATAGAAATCCGGTCTCTATATCCACAAGTGGATATACACAGCCAACTGCAACATGTTTCAGAGAAGTTTATGGCATGCAGCACTGTATCTTTTTGAAAGAGAAAAAATGCCATGCAGCATGTGAATTCCACAATCTAGTTTCCTCAAACAACCATACAGATCAAGTGCTTCCTTGCTTGGAGAAGTGGTTCTCAGCAGATCATGATCATGAAGAGACCCAACACCTGAACTGAAACTCTCCCTGTACTTCTGAAAAACAAAAGAAATCAATAGCACGAACAATCAAGATGCATCAAGATCTTGTGCAGCAGAACGAGAATGATAATAGAGAGAAAGAATTATCAAAATATCTGATAAAAAGCTCTGCAACATGGCAGGAGGGTACCTGGAGGTGACTCTTGATGTTGTGGGTCGTAAGGCTTGTGACACCCATAGCTTGCATTGTCTCCTTCACTGCAGTTGGTTTAGCTTCTGAAGATTGCAACAAATGTATAACACGGCATCAGTTTTTTTTAACAATAACATGGCATCAGTTCCATCAACGAGTATTTTGAGATCAAGCAGTGAATAACAAACAGTTTTACCATAGGGACCTCCATGGTAGGCCACAGCCTCCACAAACATCTTATGGAGATCATCAGACCATCGAAGGTAACTCCTTGTTGGCTGCATAGCCCGGATAAGGCGAGAAACCAGAATGCTCGACATGCAATCATCCTCTTGTGCTGGCTGGCTGTTGGACATTATTCTGTAAATCATACTCAGAGCACTTCAGTAAATATAAAAGACATAAAGCCTGTTTGGATTGTGTATTTGTGTAATCAAACAAGACAGATTCATTAAATTGTCAGTATGGAGTAAATGTGAGGATGTGCCCTTATGGTAAGGGAAAACATTTCCAAATAGAAATGTGAGAGATCAAACATGAGTACCGATGTTTTAAAATCCTATTTAGAAATCAAGAATGCATTAGATCAGAATAAGAGAAACCAGAACTTAATACAAATACTAGTACCAATGTATATGATGAAGAAAAAGGAATTGAGACTGTGCCGTCTATTTTTAGGGAGAAGAGTGAGATGGCATTCCAACCTTGAAAGGATATCACCCCTTTTATATAGTTCTTCCTATCACTACACTGCCTATGGAAGGGACATTCTACATTTTGTCTAGCACATCGGTCATCACAGTTGGTGTACATGGAAGGAAAGGTAGGCAGAGAAGTACAAGATTTCAAAATGGTAAGATAACAAAATGAATGATTATCTCATATTAAGCATGGAGTATAACAGGGTGCTCTTTTCGCAGCACATGCGGCCTCTGCCCAATACATGAATGGAAGGGCATCATAGATCATGCAAAATCATGAACGTGATAAAGAAAGAAGCACAGAACTGCAAATATAAATTAGGTACAAAATGAATGTTGAGGTTAACTTATCAGGCAAGCTGGATGTTTATGATGTGAACAAAGTCCTATCCTGCCAACACCTAGCAGCAGCATGGCAGCATGACCTTGTCTTGTCATTGTGATGTCATCTGCACATTTTTCCAATCAAGAAAATATAGAATTACAGAAAATCAATCATCCATACTAGGTGCCTAAATTTTGACACTGCAAAACGTTGTCCATCCTTCAAATTGAAACTGGAAAAGTAGGGAACAACTCCAAAAGATCTGGAACTGGAAGTACTATCGAAAATTAGTTCAATCATACATGTATTTGCACAGATGTATCATGAGGTGCTCTTTACATGGAAGATGAAACATACATAAATGCAACTCTTGTCAAACTTGTATTCTAGGTATGGTTGGAAATTTTGTAGAACAGTAGAGATCACAAGGATGATAAGAAGTGCATCACATGAGCAGCAACTGAATTAGTGTATAATCAAATTGCTGATATTATACATAGGAGTACATCACCTTCTTGAAATGCCATCGGTAATACATGCTATTTTACAAAGAATGTAATTACAAGAGAGAACAAGAAAATGTCCCTAGTTCTCTTCAGGGTTGTAAGATGGCAGCAAAACGGACACTAATCCTCAGCAACATACTTGTTCCTACGAGCACCAAAAGCAATCCTCTGCAAGTGAAATCAGGGACAATGGTTATTCAACACAGTGGAATTGACAGTAGTTGAGGATGTCAAATAATAACAAAATACAGTGGAGATCTTACTGAAAATATTCTGGAGTAGGCTTTCAAGCCTGTGAGAAAACGGATGTAGGTTGGTTTCATGGACTGGTTAGTAGGTATTGCTCTGATGTTTGGAACGAGATAATCCGCAACCTATCATAATTCATAATAAAGTTATAAAAAAATATATTTTGGACCTTACAGCTAACTAGAAGACTCAACGAGTGTACATTACCATCAATAACATGTAAGGCAGGTAAATTGGATCACTCATAGATATATCCCGTGTTACATGAACCTGGATGTCATTGGTGGTATAAAGCACTGCCCATGTCATGTAAAGCTTTTCAACTTTTTAAGTTCAATCGAGCTAACGTATTGAACTATAAACAACTAGTTTTTTTATGTGTCCTATGAAAATATTAGATGGCCACATTTGTTCTGATCAAAACAACTGAAGCTGTGCGAATAATTGTTTTGCACTGAAATTAATAAATACTAAGGGTATGCATGTGTTTCATGACAGATGTAAAGGTATGCATGATCAACGAGGTATTCATTAGCATGTTTGAACATTGATAATGCAAGTAAATACGTCAGGTTTAACTTAACCCATCGATAAAGAATTGTCTCATGATTTTCATGAACATATAACCAGGTCCAGAGATCATGTTCAAGCTATTTGGTTAGATATTTCAAGCTATTTGGCTTGCAGTAGCTAAATCATGTTTGCTACTTCAGTCTTCAGCCATATGGAAACTAGAACAAGAAACAACGATATGCTGGGGAAAAAAGAAATCAAGATGGAGCTCTTACCACATTAGCAGGTTCAGCTAATATATTGATGAAAAATTTGGCCTGCCATCAGTATAAATCCAGAATTTAATAACGATGAACTATCTTGTCAACAATTGTTAAAAGGAGACCATGTGGATCACTCACCTGCTTTGTTGTGGCACCAGACATAAGAAGATCTGTTGTAACCATGCCAGGCTGCACAGATTAATATGTACTCGGTATAATTATTCTTGCATCATTATTAATCGATTATACAAGAAGAATGCAACCAATTAACTTGCAGAGATGCATGATTCAAAGCTTACAGGAACTAATTTGCTAAACTACTCCAGTGTTTAATCATCTAGTTAAGTCTAAAGTAGTAAGACACCAGGAAAAAGGTTGGAGTTATGTACCGACAAATTGTGCACCATAACATTGTTCACTTCATTCATCTGCAACTCGGCCTGCAATTAGAATCAAATTATTTTCTTCCTGCAAATTCTAATAAACAAGAATTCCAGAAGGACAAAAAAAAGAGGAAATGAAAACCTACATTGCGAGTTCTCCAGAAAAATCGTTCCATTTAAGAAGGGAAGGGTCTGAACCTCAAGACTCAAGTCCAAGGATTATATGGATGATTACAGCTTTATGTTTTTTTTTTCAAATTATTAATGAGTATTGAGTAACTATTTGATAATCACAGCTTTATTGTTCTGGATACTGAGAAATGGTGGTAATCAATATTGCATCATAGTTGTGATGTCACAATGCAGTTAACAATTTATATGAAGTTACAATGCCACAAATAGTGGACTATGAATAAATGCTACACTGGATATGTTCTGATCAAAACAAAATGATATGAGGTTATATCCTCACATAACCTTTACCTGCAGAGATTTTGTAAGGTGCACCACACTTCTCTTCGTTGCACCATATGCAGCAAACCTAGTCATTATCAATAATAATCAGTGTCTATTTCTGAAAGGATATTAAGTTATTAAGTAGTATCCTGGTGTAACCACAAAAGCACTAGTTACCAAAATATAATTATATTTAATATCGCTTGATACCCCCAACCCCCCAACGCGCGCGCGCGGGGGCCACCGCAGTGGTGTAATTTTTTCATTTGGTTGAAACTACTGATAACAGTACAGTATATGTCTATATGGAAGCCAAATTCAGCACAGAAACTTATGAGGCACAGTTATGTGGAATCATAGGTACTCTCCTATTAGCAATTAGCAATAAACTAAAAGGACATAATACATGATGTGAAATTTCATAGCTTCATACTGTATGAGAATTCAAACATAATGATATAATGATTGAATTGCACATTGAGTGTCTACATTTTACTACAGAACAGAACAAATGGAAATGCATACCTTGGGGTTGGCCTTCCATCAGAACCAGCACCATCGATGTTAAATATGTGGCCACCTCGAGGTTGGTTTCTCATCATATTTATTGCCTAAGATGGCAAGATGGCAAGAAGATGAATATTTGGAAAATGAATCTTCACAGTTGTTGTAATGAAATTCAGAAAGCTAGTATGAGTTGAAAGAAATACCTCACGACAACATATCATTAATCCAAGAGTGTTAGTTGTGATCACTTCCCTATTAAATCAAAGAAAGAGTGGAGTTTGAATATAGCTTGAAAGCACAATTGAATGTATTTGGTCAAGCCATAAATAAAAAGACAGCATGAAAATTACATGAGAGCCTCGTCGGAGGTCTCGACCAACGGTTTGTAACTATATGCATTTGATCCAGCATTGTTGATCTGTGCCAAAGGAACACAAAGATAAGGAGAAAATCCTGCCTTCTTATGGTTCTAGATTTTACCCAAAAAGATTCAACACTACATAACTGAGTGCTTCAATTAAATTACTGAAGTTTAAATATTCAAAAAGGGTAGCTGAGAAATTTCGAACACTCATGAGTATGTAGTGAGAATCAGCATAACTTTATAGCCAGTGATTTTCATATTTGTACATATGAAAAGAATATAAACATGAGTAAGTTCATGTGCAGATATTTGATGATGATGGGGTGATTATGTACCCAAATATCAATATACTTCATCTTGTCACGTGCAAAATCAACTAGTGCCTTTACATCCTTTCCTTCCCTAACATCACAGACAATTCCCTGCAATAATACAAATAGAAGCAGTTCAGTTGCATAAGTATTATTGCACTGTAAAATTTTCAACAAACATAATTATAAGTGGAGACTCCAATGGCAGTAAAAGTATCAAGTAGCTCAGCAGTAGGAAGTAGGTACCCACACATGTTGCTCTCCAAATTCCTTTTTCAAGTCAGTCACCGCAGATTCTACCCTTTCAGCTGTAGAGGATAGACTGCATGTCAAGGAAAGGCTAAACTGTAACTTGTTTGCTTTTTTTTTTTTCATTCTCTCACTAAAAGTGGGCTCAAGAAAATCCTAGCAATCCATTTGTTTATTCATTTTAAAATTTCATGAAAGATCAATTTAACAGGTCAGTCATATCAAGCAGATGACCCCTATATAGAGCACCTAATGAGCGATAATGAGCATCAAATGACAAAAGCTGGATAGTGCATATTTTAGTGTTAGGTCAATGGATCATCCAAATGAGAAGAGAGGAAAATAAAGAAACAGGTAAACGAGACTTGACCATGCAAATCAATTTGCAATGCATCTTAGGCTCGATAATTTATCCAATTTTATTTATGTCATCACTCAAAAATAATTACTAAAACTAGCGCTACCTATTGAAAGCACAAAATCATTTCTGTACCTGATCTTGAGCAGATTACAACATTATCGCCAGCCTTCAAAAATTCCTTTGCCAGAGCATATCCTATACCTGTTTAAGAGCAAACAAGGGTCATTGAGTTGTACTACAAAGGTTTTTGAAACAAGCTTCCACAAAGGAAGCGTTTAGGAGATATACCTCTACCACCATTGACCAAAAGATCTAATATGTCAGGATTTAAATATTTTTTTACCACAATACAGTATCAAAGCAATTGCTCCACACAGTTTCAAGCTGATTTGCATTGTTTGATTAAAAGGTCAATGCCGAATGCACTGATGTTCTAGTTCATTTTGTCTTCTAAATTGTGTACTAGAAAGTAGGAAATGAACTAATTAAGCAGGTTCTTATGCTGGTAGCGGCACTACCCACTTCCACCCCTACTTCCAAATTGGTGTTGCTCTCTTCTCGGCTACATAAGGCACGAAAAAACAACATCGCCACCACACCACACCCTGACCATCTGAATTATTTCCAACACAAGCATTCAGAATTTCAGAAATATCGATCACCACCAGTTCCTATATGCTCCTACTAAATTGCATCCCAACAAAAAGCATCCACAGACATCCTACTTCTTTCTTGTAAGCAAGATCAAGCATGCGAAGCAACACGACGACGAGGGGGGGAGAACTCAACAACACCTTTCGTGGAACCGGTGATTAGAACATTATACGGGGGCACCATGGCCGCCCTCCGCGCGACCCCTCCACCACCAGGGACAGCCTCCGCGCGGATACCGGCAGCCTCCGGCCCGCCTCTCGCCGCAAGCCGGCGCCGCGCCGTCCGGCCGGGCAACCGCGCCCCAGCAGCGGCCGAGCCCGACGGCCGGAGCGGAGCCAGGCCCACCTGCGCCTGGGCACGGAGCGGGAGGTAGGCGGCGGTGGCCGCCATTGCGGCGGTAGCGAGACGAGGGGAGGGGAGGGGAGGGGAGCGGAGTGGAGAGGCGTCGTCAACTGCGGTGCTCGCCTTGCCGGCTCGCCGTCGCGGAGTCTGGATAACGATTAACGAGCGAGGATTTTAGAAGGGAGGGGGCCTGCGAGTTAAGTACGGATGTTAAGAGGTGGAGGTGGCCCACAAGTCAGTGTGAGCAATCATCCTTTCTCTCTCTCTCTCTTTTAAACTACTAGTAGTATGTACTAGTACTATTTTGCAAGGTTTTTTTAACTATTATATGCATGTGCTTTACAATAGTTTTTTTTTTCGAACGCGCAAAAGAATTGCACGTCAATATATTAGTAGGAAAAGAGTTTTTGTTACACAAAGCAATCAGCCAGATTGGCTTATGCCTAAAGGGGGGACTTGAAGCTAGGAACTACTACGACGGTTAAAAACGTAATTCCAAACAGCGGGAGGGGGCAAAGCCACGCTACACTCCCAATAAATCCCCAAAAAAAGCAACGCCGACTAAAGACCACAGCTGGCCCTCCGAGCGGATGGACTCCAGAACCACTGCGACCGAAGCGAGCGCAGAGTCGAAAACCCTGGAGTTTCGTTCCTTCCACAGCTACCAGGAGACTAGGAATACCTGGAGTCGAAGCTTTACAATAGTTCCTTTTATAATAGTTTCTTTTCCTTTCTTATAGTAACATGCAACGGACTAAACCATATAATTAGGAATTGACTGGATGAGTGAATTGAGAATAAAACATGGGCTAAACCATATATAATTATAAATTGGGAAGAATGTATTGGATCCTATATAGTTACACACCTATGAGAAACACATGATGAGAAGGGGATGAAAGTAAGATGATTATGCTTTGTTCTAGACTCTAACTCTAAACTTCAACTTTTCTCGTTTTTCGTTAGAACATTTCTCAAACTGTTAAAAAGTGTTTTTTTAAAAAAAAATATAGAAGTTTTCTAAAGGATTCAAATGGACCAACTTATCAAATTTATAATAATTAATAATTAATTAATTATGGGTTAATTGCTTGCTTCGGTTTTTATGCTGCTTAGAAACTCAGTTAGTTGCTTGGCTTTGAGCAGGGTGTTTCAGTTTTACAGGTAAGGAACACTTGGGATTTATGGACTGTAGTGTTAGTGCATACTTGATTCATAAGTTAGACAAAGGGAAAATGTGGCTACTGGGAAGAAACGCCACCCTTCTCTTGTTGCATCTGGGGTAGTGATTACACGTGTCCTGGTAGTAATTAGTAGTACTACGATCGATATGTTGCCGTTGCTTCTGCACTAGTGATACTATTAAGTCTCGATCAGTTCGTCGCTGTCACCATGCCACTCTCGCGGTGAGCGTTGCTTGCTGGTTTGCACATGCTGGCTGTACATCGCATATACTCCCAACCAAATTAATTGTAGTATCCTTGTGCACTGCATTTGCAGAGCATAATATTCTGTCTTGATCTGCATAAGTTCGTCCTCAGCCTCAGTAAACTCTTTGCATACACAACCTGACAATCACTTCATACGCATGAGCACCACATCACACAGGATTGAGAAATTCACACCAACAAATTACACTAAGGACACTCAAAGTAATTAAAACATCTGGGGATGGTCATTATTGTTTATTATTGCTGCACACGAAGAGAGCAAGTTGCTGCAACGCAAAGTACTGCTAAGATAACAAGCGGATCGAGTACTCGCTCCAATACTAATAATCATCGTCGCAAACCATCGATCATATCACACCAATTTATTCGTTCGTCAACAGTAAGCGACACACGATCGAGCTAGCGCGCGCGCGGTGGCCACCGTTCATTCGATCGGCGGCCGGCGGCGGCCGGCCAGCCCGCCGGCGAGCCGGCCGGCCTAGACGACCGGCGGGCCACTGTACGTCAAGGGGACGATCCGAAGGTCCGGCGGCGCGCTGGCGTTGATCGGTCGCAGCCATGCAAACTGGCTCTTCTCCTGGGCGCTCAAGTTGCGGGCGAACCTGTGATCTGCATGTATACGCACAAATCAACAATTAACGCCGATCGATCAAGCCAAGAAATGGCACAAATTTCTGCAGCTGTGCTTGCTTACTGCGGTGGAGTTGGAAGGGGTAATCACGGTAGAAGGTGCACCGGCGGAGGCGGCCCTCCGAGTAGGGCGGCGTGAGGACGTCGAGGAAGGCGCAGGGCCCGTCCACGCCGGCGACGAACCGGTGCAGGTTCCCGCCGGTGGACGGGTACAGCACCCAGGTGCCGCACCCCGCCTCCACGACGTGGTCCAGCACCTTCTTCACCAGCTTCGTATTCTTAGCTGCCACATCATATCCAACACGCCCGTACGCACGCAAGCACGCAGAGTGTGATCAGATCGGCGGCGCGACGTACGTACTTACGCCGGCGAGCGGCGGCGCTGAACTGCACAAGGGGGGGGGGGGAGGGGGGTAAGGCTTACGTACAGTGAACAGCGCGCTTCCCGCCGGAGCCGTAGACGGAGGGGCTGACCCAGTCGAAGGACTGGACGTGCACCGAGCCGGCGAGGAGCTTGCTGAACACCGTCATCCCCGGGTGGTCGTGCAGCGGCATCACCGTCCCGGCGGGCAGGTAGAAGACCGCCACCTGCATCAAAGAATTAATCAGTAACTATATATATATATATATATATATATCATCGTTAACAAATTGCAATTACGTTCAGGGATCGGAATTAGTAGTACGTACGCACCGTGAAATTATCGCATTCGTACAGGTAATTGCCCCCGATAACCTGTATGGGGTCTCGGCGGCGGAAAGCGGCAGCTCTCGTTACCTCGGAGGTGTCGAGCACCGTGCCCAGCTTGAGGTCATCCGGTCCAATTCCATCTGGAACTCAAAGTCAGGTCGTCACTTTTCTTTAGAAAAAAAAAGGGTGTAGCTATATTTATGGCGTCATATTTTTCACCAAAAAATAGTCGGCATGTATTTACATTGTAACTTCCTAAATTACATATGTAATTTTAGTGTATTTATAATGTAAATCTTGAAATTACATATGTAAATATTAAAATTACATATGTAAATAGAGTGTAATTTTACATGTAGATAGCAAAGGAACGTGATCGATCGGATAAATCACAGCAAGCAGCATAGGTGCATGTGTATGTACTTGCACGCACGATGGCAAATTAAGCAGTCCTGCACGAATCTAAACGAAACTTTGAGGGCTAACAAACTGACTGTAATTAGAGAAGATTTATGGCGACATATCTATAGCAAAACCGAAAAAAAAATGAAGGTCGTCACTTTGATTATCAGGTGTATTGTTGTGTTCAGGGTTTCGGACAGAATCACATTACTTGGAGAAGGGTGGGGCCATGGGGACTACAGTATCACAAAGAAAAGAAAAAGGCAGAAGAAGGGGGAAAGGTTTTTTTTTTCCTATAGATAAAATGTCCCCTCATTTTTTTTACACATCACCTTAAAAAATCATCAAAAAAATTTAACAAGATAGATTAATCTGCAATCACTTCACAAATATACAAGAAAATAAACATCAGAAGAAAATCAACATCTCAAATATGTTTGGTTTGGCATTATATAATTTTAACACTCCACTCTTAAGACACATTTCTTCGAATATTTGCACACAATTTTTTTCAAATAATACTTTTTTACATAATGACGTATGTATCTCAAATACGTTTGGTATGGCAGTATATACTTTTAACACTCCCCTTTTAAGACACATTTTTTCGAATATTTGCACACAATTTTTTTAAAATAATATTTTTTACATAATGACATATGTATCTCAAATATGTTTGGTATAGCAGCATATACTTTTAACACTCCCCTCTTAAGACATATTTCTTCAAATATTTGCACACGATTTTTTTTTCAAATATTTTTTTACATAATGACGTATGTATTTAATACGCATGGTTCGATGTGTTTGGTAGTGAAGATATAACCATGACAACTACAATCCATATCATACATAAATACTCAAAGCACATGTCCACCCGACAATACAAATATTTTTATATGCGAAAAATATCTATCTCCTAGGGCATCCAAAAGATAGCACACGTATACTACATTAATTACATACCGACTACACATATACGGGTGTATGCATATTAAAGTCAATATGTGTGTGCAAACAAATCGCACAATCTTACCAGAGCATAGTTAAGGTGTGGTCAAGAATTTGTTGACAATGTGCTCAAATCCTTAGGCACGACGAGAGCAAGAAAAATATGAATGACAAGTAGAGTCCATTGCCAAAAACTGTGGTATGGCATACTAATGGCAATGTAACAAAAAAAAACTTTAAAAATCTTGGTTAAATGGAGCACTACTCAGCCAAACACCCCCTTCAACATACATGCATATGCCATACACATATTTCAGTCGACATAACATTTTACTAAGAAGTGTCTACACGAACTAATTAACGGCAGTCAATAATTAACTCGAGCATAAATAGCCTTTTTAAGTTTTAATTTGATATATATCCCTCAAACAAATAATAGCCCTGTCAATCTATACATGTGTGTTTACCACTAAAAAGTGTGTGTGTGCGCGCGCGCGCGCGTGTGTCGTTTGTGGACAATGCATATTGCACTTGCACATGCATGGTGATTTGTGGGTTATTAATGTTTCTCACACACCTATGTATCAAAAAAAAAAGTGTCACACGCACACCTCGAGGGAACATCCCTTGTTTTCTCAAAAACATCTGTAAATCGCTGTCGAAAATTTGAAAAATGCAAGAATATGAATCTAACTTAAATTTTGAAATATATGCAACGATCGAGAAAGCTGATGAGGATAGGTGCACGTAGCCACGTACTGAGCAAGGCGACGATACGGGAGACGGTAGTACTGTTGGGCGGCTGAGTGGACTTGGAGGAGCCATCGAGCAGCACGCGGCACTCGTCGACAAGCCGCTGGAGAGCATTCTGCCGCGGCGGGGACACCGCCTGCAGCACCGGCGCTTCCTCGCCGTCGTCGTTCTTGTCGTCGTCGCTTCCTTGGCCGTCAGTACCGTCCATGCTGGAGCTCCCCACGTCCGGCGCCGGGTCCCTCTTCCTCTTCTTCGCTGGTTCCTCCACCTGCTCCTCCGGCTCCATGGACGCCGACGCCGACGCCGACGACTCAGACTCGGTCACCGTCTTGGGCGCCGCCACCGCCGTCGCCGCCGCGCCCTGCCCTTCCACCGCCTCTGGTCTCAACGCGGAGTCCACCGCAACCACAGGAAACGAGGCACAGGCACTGATCCCCGCCATCGCTATCAACACACAACACGCAACGACGTATAGTACGAGAAGAAGTAGTAAGAATCTCACGGGAAATAACCAACGGGGAAAACCCAGCCATTACCGAACGCGAAGCTGCATGCATGCTCACCGTGCAACGCCGATCTCTCGATCAATCACAACGTACGAACCAGCCAGGAATGATCAGGGAGCGCGAGAGAGCCGATCGAGGAGCAGCGTGGGGAGGTGAACGCGACCGGCCGGGCCTATTTATACACGAGCGCGCGGACCAGACCACACGAGAGAGAGCACGCACGTACATTCATGCATATGATCGCGTCACTGCAGGGGCCAGGGGACCGAGATGGGATCGCGTGACGGGGACGTACGCGTGTGGTGGATGGAAATGCTTCGTGCAGACGGACGGCCGTGGCCGGTTGATCGATCGATCGGGGTCGGACGAAACGGACCCCGCGCGGCGCGCGCTGCTCCGGGGCCGGGTGGCGGTTTCCGCTAGCTGCGCCTTTTCCTCCCCGGGCGTCCCAACGACGCGACGCGACGCAAGCCAGCATGCAGCCCAACGGGCGGCGCGGCCGGCGCGCGACGTACGTAGCTTGCCTCGGGGTGGACCACCACACCGACGGTGGTCCCCCGCACGCTTCCTCGCATGCAGTGGTGGGAGGTGACGGGGGAGCGTTTTGTTGTTTGCGGCTTTGCACCTGCGTGCGGTGCGGGCGGCTGCGCTTGCGTCGCGTGTGCGTGCGCGTACGTGCGTGCGTGCAGCGCGCGGTGCGATGTGGGGCGCGCACCGCCCCGCGCGCGGAAGTGAACCGGGCCGGGGGGTTTCTTGTCGTCCGGGACTGGGGCGCGCCGCGCACACGGCTGGTCAAGCTAGCAACGACCGTCCGTCCACCCGGCCACCAGTGCCGTGCGTTGCATGCAGCGCTAGCTAGCTAGCTTTGCAGTGCTTTTGTTTGCTTGGGGGGAAGTGAACTGGAACGGTTCTGGAATGGTGCGAGACAGCACAGAGAGAGGCTTACCGTTTCTACGCCTCTGCCGTACACGTGTACCGCTAAGTGTGCGCCGTGGGCCCGTGTGTGCGGGTGCATCGCGTGATCGACCGATGATAGCTGTGCATGCATGCCTGGCGCCCGTTGGATCTGTGGTTTACTCCTTGCTACTGTAGAGGACTGGAGGTTTTGATGTGCGGATCACAGGGGCGATCTGCACACGGGTGAGATATAGGATCATGGAAACAGGTGTGCCTAGCAAAAATGGTGACCGTGGAAATAACTGGACATGTTTTTTTTTTACAGTAGCCCCGCTATTACATACGACTGAAAATAATGATATAAAATCTATACATGAGAGGTTAAATTAGATCTAAAAATCGAGGATCTAGATCGAATTTATTTAGACATGCATCATGTTAAGTTGTTAAGTTGTTATATGTAGCTATGTAAAATTTTCTTTTTATGAATAACTTGAATCTTGATGCCGGTTGCCTATAGGTCCCCACACTGCTCATCGACTCATGCGTTATGTTTTCCTCACTCGTGTGATTGGTGTTTGCTCTGCAGCTGTGCACGGTGAGAATAACTTCGTATTCAATGGTTGGATTTTGTTTGGTCCCGGACAAGACTTAACTAGTTCTTGTTTGCATGTTGCGTTGTACTGACGGAGGGAAAGGGCACGTTACCGGTGATTGTGGTGGACACAGCATGGAGGCCGGGGGCGGTGAAGGGAGGGGTCCTGTGTGGAAGGAGCTGGTTGCAACGCCTAAGAGGTTGATCAAATCGAAGTTGATAATGAACCAAATATAGATTGAAAATAATAGAATTCAGTTCTATTTCCGAAAAATTAATGAATTGTCAAGAAAGAGGCAATACTTACCTAATACGAGGATCATGATGATAGACGACCCGGTTAGCTGGTTGGCTAATAGAATCATTTTTGGCGTCGACATATTAGTCGCAACTATGAATCAAGCATTTTAGAGTGTAGATACACCATGAAGAAGAAGTGTGGTGTGAGATTATCGATGGTACATGTGTTGGGAGCATATGAAAGGAGGCTTGAGGATTTAGCGATAGATGATACTAAGCATTTCATATGCTTGAAAGCAAATAAACATCGGCGAGAAGGGTATTTCTTTGGGTTCGATTGTGTGGTTGTAAGCAATGAATAGGTCGTATAAATAAGAGAAGAACCGAGAGAGGTAGGTGAGGATTTTGCGGGAAGGCAGTGAAAGGTGTCGGATACGACAAATAGTAGAAGAGACGTAACGCGTGCAACTAGAAATTGATGTTCCAATTTAAAGAATATTTAAAATGTAAATTATATCGACCGTCCACTTGCACGCACATGCCAATCATACAACTATTGTGCGCTGTACAAATACGTGCCGTACATGGAGGGAGGTGAGCGTAGTGTGCCGCATACCAAAAAAACATCATTCTATTGTCTATATCAGACATATATATGTTTAAACTTTTTCTTATTATTCTTCTTCCTCACTTATGTAAAGCTGGTAGCTCGGGGAGGGGGAAGGGAAGTCTATTGTGTGATCCATGTTACACCCACCGATGTTGTGTTCAGCATTTCAGGTTGGGAACTAATCCTCCTAGCACGTAAAGCGGAATGGCTTGTTAGTAAATGATTAATTAAGTATTAGCTAAATAAAACTTAAAAAATAGTTAATATAATTTTTTAAAACAACTTTCTTATACAAAATTTTTACAAAAGATGGACTGTTTAGCAGTTTAGGAAGCGTGGAAAATGAGAGTGTAGAAAATGGGAAAGGAGGTATAGAACTCAGCTCAAGTCATTAAGGGCAAAAAAATGTACAATCGGCCTCGAGAAAGTTTTAAGCCATCCATTCATTTATATCCAAGGGCAAAGAAAGTTTGGCGCACCTCACGGATAAGGCAAAATTGTGGAGGGACCACTACTAAAAGGGCAAAATAGTAATTTCTTTGTCTATTATTTACTCTATTCCTTTCCATCGGTGTGACCCGACGATGCTCTCCTATCTCACGCATTCTCCACCTCCTTGCCCTTGTCCCTTCCTTGCTTTTCCTCTCTCTAGCACTGCCATCTCTAGGTTGCAGCCTCACAATATGCCTGGTGTCAATGTTTTGTATTGGTAATAATAGGGTAGCACACGAGATTTAAAAGTGGATGGGTACGCGGAGATAGAGGTTTAAACAGGTTCAGGCTGCCTCGGTGAGAGGTAATAGCCTACTCCTGTTTTGATGGATTGTATCCACTAGGCATAGTGATGTTATCGATCTTGTGACCTGATTGTGGGTTGTGCCGATCCTGTGACTTGAGGGGGTTCCCTGCCCCCCATAGGTTGGGGGACACGGCTTTAGTTTTGTAATCTATACAGGGTAGTATTCAGCTAGGACTCTAGACACCGCCTTATGACAAGGCAACATGGCGGTTGAGTCTTGCTATATTACATATTACATTGATCTGACCATCTCCAATCTCTAATCATATATGTAAGCCATGGTGGGTATTTGGTATCACACTCTGCACATCCGGTTGTCTTCTCTCATTATAGATAAGCCTTGAAATATGCCATCACATGCCATGGATGACAACTCCAACAACATTCTTTTTTCTTCTTTTGCACTTCGCGTGCACCATTATACTATTTCTATTATGCATCATGTTTACCTTTCTTCCTTCTTTTTTCTATTCCACTGCCGCAATGCGAGTTCCTTACAGCAAGTGTCCCCTCACCATTCCCTCTACTATACCAACTCACCCTCTCTCTCCATTTTTCGATCCTCCATTTGAATCTAAAAGTGTGTTGTTGGTAGTGCAACATAGATACAGGCCTAAAGCTTAGAACAAGGGAGTGCTACTACTTTCGCGCGGTAATACGAGGGATGGCCACTAAAGTGGTGTAGTGTGGAGATAATGGATGAGGAAGAAGACTCGAGGAGATAGACATGGCGATTGAAAGTTCATGTGTCATTAATTTGGTTTTGGTGATTAATGATAAATCCAATTAAATGAGACTAATATTGTTATAAGCATTTCTTTGTCTACTAATCTCATATGGATATGAAAGTGGAATATGTGAGAGATGATTCCCGTACTTCGTGTGAGTTAAGATAGAAACGTTCATTGATGGTGGACCTAAATCACAAGGATGAAATATACTCTTTCTCTCCGTACACATATTGATATATTAATATAATATACTCTTGCTTCACACAAATATTCCGTATGCATACATTTAGGGGAGCAAATCCTATACATTAGTTATGCATGTATTTGATCCAAGTTATTCACTTTCATTTAATTGGGATCTCTACATTTGAGTATACATTCCAGTATATGACACTTGTGGTGTCGATTAGTACTCATTATTTATTCATATCCTTTTATATACGTGATCGGTTGGTCAACATGTGAAGGTTGACAACCGGATCATTAGGAATAATAATTTTATTGCGTTGAATGAGAGAAATATGTCCCAAGGATTGCAAAGGTATTGATGCTCAAGTGATATCACTACACCTAAAGATACCAAGGATGACAAAGTGAAGATACGAAGTGGATACTATGGCACGACGGTGAAGGGCAAGTGATGCTAGGTCACGATGGACCATGCGGCGGTGAAGGGCAAGCAAGGGGTTTGGCGCCGAAGAACCAAATCCGGCGATGAAGGGCGAGTGACGGCTTTGTCATGATGGACCGTGCGAGGCCATTTGAAGCTACAAGTAACCGCATCAATCATTTGAAGAATATATGGTAAAACGGTTTTGGCATTGGCGTCCCTTAAGACAATGAAAAAAAGATGGAAAGAAGGCATTCCTATTGGTATAATTATTTTCCTATTTACATTTGAGTTTAGGAATGCCTTACTATTAAGAGCGTGTTGACGCGAAAAATCAACGCGTAGTGGCCTGGGAGATCTGCTTAACTCCAGTGCAGGTCCAAAAGAATCGCCTTCGGGTTCTGAGCGTGCCAGATGGTTTGATCCTGCAACCAACAAGGTAGAAAACAACAAAGAGTTAAATCCATCAACGATAGCCGATCGGCAAGATTGCCGATGACATATTGTCCGAGGCCACGCTGATGTAACTTGAGTCAGATCGGCAGAAGCAGGTAAAAACTTGGAGATTGTTCGGTGTGCTCGATCAGTTGTAGATGTTAGCGATACGTAATCTATCCAACGGGGCATGCTTAGATTGAGTGACTGGGATAGATCGGTGGGAACACTGAGACAGTATAAATCGCTCTATACCTAGAAGCACCCCAGAGTAGGGATTAGGTACGCTGACAGCATAGGGGACGCCTAATAAGCGACTGGTCGCGTGCCCTGACCCCCGCGCGACCAGGCTCCTCCTACTACTAGTAGTCCATTAGTACTACTACTAGTCTACTAGTACTACTACTACTAGTCTATTACTATAACAGTACTACTACATGTATATATACGTATTTATATATTTTAAACTTTGTGTTTTTACGTATCAATATAAAGTTTCTACGTATGTATATAAAGTATATACATACATATATATAATTTTTATGTGTATCAACAAATTGACGTATAAAAAATATACACGTATACGCATATACAAAATTTGCATACACGTATACAAACTTTGCATACGCGTATACAAACTTTACGTACATGTATACAAACATTGTATATGTACGTATTAAAACCCGAGAGAAAAAATCACGAATACAAACTTTGTATACGTGCGAATACAAAATTTGGTATACATACGAATACAAACTTTGCAAACGTACATCTTTAAAAAAAGGAAAAAAAGAAAGAGAAACCAAAAGAAAACCGGAAACAAAACTGGAAAAATCGTCTCCACGCGCCCCGTTCGCGCCCCCTCTCCGCGCGCGACACGTGTCCAGTCACACGCGGGAGGGTGCGCACGACTGACCGCCGATTAGCCCTTTTGGACAGCATAGCTGATGGGGTAAACCTAACCTGTATCGGCTAGTACTCCGATACCACCTTATACCAAGATATCAGCGCAGATGAAATATATGAAGCTAAGACCAATCTAGTGAGAATGACGAACTAGCTTAATATACTTCAGAAGGAAGGGATCTTGATATAATTGGCCGATTTAGGCGATCTAGAGCCAAATAAGGAAGTAAAACGACTAAATCAGGTAAAATCGATTGAAACCCCGATACTATCTCTACTAGCAGTCAAAGAAATGAATAGATAAAACGTTTCGGGATAGTACTTAACAGATCGAACCTAACCGATGCAGCATTAAGCATGAAGAGAAACATAAGATTTAATCAAATCGATGAAAGCTCGTTCGAGATGGTAGATACATCACATAATCTAGCTTAATATCGAAGCCTAAGCCTATCGTTCGTTTTCGATGATAGAGGCTAGCCGATAAAGCTTAGATGACGAGATCGGTCTAGATAATGCGATATATATATATATATATATATATATATATATATATATATATATATATATATATATATATATATATATATATATACTATATATATATATATATATATATATATATATATATATATGATAACTCAATGAATTGCGTGGACATGATTAGAGTGTCACGAAGATGTAAGCACTAATCCCGAGAACGCAAGCAGCCATGACAAGATTTACCTTTTTGTCGGAGATCGAACCCGATGCAGCCCAACTAGAAAGCAAAAACTCGTCGAAATAATAAAAGTAAAAAGGTGGCGATGCGCCGAAGTGTATTGAACTGTCGTCCCTTGATTACATGGGGTCGGCCTATATTTATACCCAAAATACATAACAGGTCCTTGTTGAACACGACTCCTATCCCTAGCATAAGAGTTTTTCTACCGTCCAAGCAACTGGGGCGGTACCGCGAGGTACCTAAATCCTGGCTGTTGGATCGGCCCGATCGAATGGCTGTTAGAGTTCGGTACCGTGAGGTACCACATTTGGTACCGTCGGATGAAGTGAGGTGGAAGGGTAAGAAAGTAATTTCGCGTGGTATGGATGGATGAGGCTGTTTGGTTGGATGAGACACGGATGCAGCTGTCCTCGATCTCTCCTTCGCCGCTCCCGGAAGGGATGGTATGGGAGAAGCAGCGCCGGAGAAGATGGAAGGAATGAAGCGGCGGCCTCGGTGACGAGGTGGTGGCGGCGGCGGCTGGTGCGTCGGCGGCCGTGGTGG